ATATTCTATATCTCAATTTATAAAGCAAATGTATATTACATTTATAAGCCACAACAAAATCAAGAATTTCCAATTTGGTGAAAGAAAAAAAAGTTTGGGGTTTAGAAAATTATTTGGTGAGAAAATACATTTCTATACCTTATGAAGAAAAAAGGACGTGGGCTTTCTCTATGGGTTATTTTCCTTCAAACTTATGGCTTTGTTATTCCTTCTGCTTATAATTTTAAAAGTAAACATTTTAAACCAAGAGAAATCAAGCATCATATTTATTCTTTAAATGGTTATGAAAGGGTGCAACTTAACTGCAAATAAAAATGTCTTAGAAGTTGGATCTAACTCATAGACATTGAGCATCAGCTAACAGAAGGGTATGGGAGGTAAATTTTACAGATTTTGTGGATGACAGAGACAGGCCTAGACATACAGTGATGAAATACAGTTTAATAAAGGCATGACAAAAAACAGTTAACACAAAATATTCTCTGCTGGTTTGGGTCTCTTCTCTCCCCTCTAATGTGTACTGTGCATCCACATTGTGTTAACCAGATATTTACAGCAAAAATAACTGCTTAACCATAAAGGTCAGTTTTCCTTTCTGACACCAAACGTTAACTCCTTAGAAGATAATTTACTTACTGATGACCTTATTAATGTCACAAGCTATATTATTTGTATTCTGCCTATTTTACAATTTGCATTCTGCCTATTTTTTCCTGCATTACCAAATGTGTGACTGAGCCTCTAATAAAAATGACTAGGTGACTTAATCAAATGTATAGTTCCATAAGATCCATGATTATAATAGTATAGCTCTAGATAGGGGAAGAAGCAAGAAGAAGGAACAATTTCCTGGACAATAACAGACCAGTAAAATAGATTAACAGGGGCCTAATTCAGCAATGGCACATTGAGAGGCCTATCAACAAAATCCCCATCTGACCTCAGAATGAGCATTCCTAGTGTCATGAGACAAATTGATCACAAAATGCCTCCCAAAACCTTAGTCAAAATTAAGATCAAAAGGGAGGGGATTGTAAAATAAGGAATGTTGTCCACCATCCAGTTCTACAGGAATCAAGTCATCAGCCACTGTAGTCAGCGTCCTACAACACACCCTGAAAGGAATTCAGGGCGAAAACTAAGATGAGGCATTTTGTGTTCTGGGAAAACTGGTAGACCTGGTTCTTGGATAGATATTTTCAGGAGAAAATTTTATGAACCCAGTTTCTTGCAGTTTCCCATACTTAGAAAAGCACTCAAACCATTAACTGAGGTGTCTATTCCTTTCGAATAGCAGTCAGTTTCGAAGATATGTGCACATACCCCCTTGCAAAATCACATATACCCTGACCTCCACCCTTACCTCTTTGGAATAGTCCTGAGATTTCTGCAAGACTGTCTCACAGGCTATAATCCTCTGGTTGGCTTGGATAAAATATTCCATTTCTTTCTCAGATTGACTATGGATTACTTTTTTCATCAATACGAGAGAGGTATTTCAGCTTAATCTTATTTCAGAGCCTCACTCCATTTCTCCTATCTCCCTCCCACAAAAGTTATTTCTCTAGGAGACAAATAAAAAAAGATATTTTCTTTAAGACAGCTGTCACTGTCCCTCCCCCCCTCCAATATTTCAATATAAACATTCTAGCTAGATTGCTGGTGATTTTCAAAACATGCTTATTCAGAGATCTCCATGTTATTCATAGAAAGAGTTCTGTAATTAGGAACTCTTTAGAAATGCTTTAACAAAATAATTTAACCCTAAACATTTAAAAGTGAATTTGTACCAGTAAGTCCAATGAATACCTTGAAAAAAAATTTTTTTTCCTAGAGGCTAAAAACACAAGTTCTTAGGAACTGAGTCCTACCTTATAAATTCACAATTGTTACAACACCCTTGTTGGTTTTATGTGCTAATGATAATCTACCAAGTATGAGATAGAAGGGCAAAACGACTCCAGCAGACAAGCTGAAGAACAGAACCAACCAGGAGGAAGCTTCTCGTTGGCACTAGTAGACTATACTTTGCCCACGTAAGGACATGCAACCTTCTGAAAAAAGAAATCAGTCCTTTGGTATTTTTAGAAAGTGCCTTCTTAGCTGCTCAAGGAGATGACAAACAGCTGGCCTTGTTTTATCGGCCTGTGAGACAATTCACATTCCTTTTCACCAAAAGGCAAAGATTAGATACGGGTCCCCACCCTGGCTCCAAGTCCATCCTGAAGTACAAGTGTTTGGTTATGACCTCACCTCCCCATACCTGGAGACTTGTCACAGCATGGCCAAGTCCAAACAATAACTCGCTCCTCCACCCAACACTCTCTTCCTAATACTCCATGGGACAGAATACATTTGAAAAATGGGGCACCTTCTTAAGGCAACTACTTCCTGCTTTTTGAGTTCCCTTCCATAAAATGTCTCCTCTCAAATTATTCTGAATTCTGCTTTAGGATTCTCTTCCTCAAATACCACTTGGATGAGGTCAGGTCACATTGCAAGACCTTCAGCAGATCCTTTGTCTTAATAAAATTCCAACCCAATAGTAAAGCAATCAGGAGTCCTCAGCATCAATGAATAATGCTTTTAAGTCTTTTCCGCCCCGCCCCCCCCCCCCCCCCCCCCCACCATCCTACATTTCTTGAGTGTTGCTGCTTGGTTTCCCTCATGCCATTTCTTGTATATTCCAATGCTCATTCTGTCTATGGAAATCTGTAGTTCTACCTACCTTTTTTTTTTTTACCTACCTTTTCTAAGGATTAGCTCAAAAGTTCTTTTTTCCAGTTTTCAAATGCCCTCCAAATGAATATTGAAACTCCTGGCTCTGTGAATTTAAAGGCAGTCTTCCCTCTTCCCTAGCTGCCTCTCCTACCACCCCAAAATAGCTGAGGTACCTTGCCCACTTCACATGGCCATGTGATGAATCTCCTAAGAGGAAACCATCCATTTTCTCTTACTAGTATCCAAGCTCTTCTTAAAACACATTCTATTTTACAGTTTTCCTCTTTTAATGACCCAAAGCACATAGAACAACTCAACACAAGTGTGCCCTCAATACGTAACTGAATAAATCGAGAAACAGCAATCAATTGAGAAATTAGTGCTTTTCTAGAGCTTTTGACAGAGAGGCAGTACAATGGATATGGATATTGGGGGTCTGAGTGATCAAGATTTAGGTTCACCACATTACTCACCTGCTGTGTCTCAAGCATTTCCTCTAAAAATGAAGCTAACAATCCCTACTTAATACGGTGATTGTGACAATGGGATAGTAATGCATAAAGAACCTCAACACGAATTGTCTGTGGGACATGCTAGACAGATAACTGTTAGCTATCTCTGGTCATAGGAGCCTGCAATGCAATGTTTAAGGGGTATTTAAACAACTGTGTGTGTGATTTAGGGAATGGTCAAGTCTTTAGTTGGACTGGCCTCTCAACAACCACTTCTTTTTTTTTGGCTGTGCCTTGTGGCATGTGAGATCTTAGTTCCCCAACCAGGGTTCGAACTTGTGGTCCCTGAAGTGGAAGCTAACCACTGGACCGCCAGGGAAATCCCAACAACAACTTCTTGAATGCAGACAAGCCCCCTTGACTTCTCCATGCTGCTGAAGTTTCCTCAGGTTATATACATAATGTGAAGAAGACATTTACCTAACAGAAATGTTGAGTATGATAATGTATCTAAAAACACTATGTAAACTATGGTAAAAGATCAGTTTTATTATGGACTTTGACTCAGAGAAAAAAGCCAAAAGGATTAAACATTTTATTCAATTTCTAGCATGTTTTATGAGGGCCTTGAAAATAATTTTTCCTTTTTCATATAATTTCCCTTCTCTTTACTGTTTATAGAACACTAAATTTGGATACTCAAGTTACCAAAGTGAAAGCTAAACCTGGCAGGGTTATATTTCACACCCTCTGCTGGCCACGGAGGAGAATAACACTACTTAAGACTAATTCAAGATCATCTAAATGTTTCTTTTCATGGACTTGACTGTAAAGATGTCATGGCATTCCACATAAAGACAAAAACATAGTTTCAGCTCTGTATTATGTATCAGACAATTAAACACAATTTGTTTATGCCTACTTTTTGTTTGTAACAATTATCGTAAGATTCAAATCTAGAAAATTATTTTTGTACAAAGGCTAGCTGCCCACCATTTATTTTTTCAAAATAATTACTTTAAAAGATTCTGCTGTTTCTACTGATATATTTAAGGCTGAAACCCATGAAAATACCCAAACTTGTAACATCTGAATTTCCTTTGCTACCACTAATTTTTGCAACCACATAATTTACTACCAAACTTACAAGGTTGTATATACTAATTTAACTGTGAATCATTTTTTTTATATTCAAAGTCTTAGATTATGTATATGAAAACTAATTTATTAAACTTTTGTACACAAAGATGAACATACCTGTATAGCAAGCTTATATGAAGAATGAAGTTACAAAAAAGTAAAAGTGTTATTAAAACGGATGCATGTAAATCATTTACAAAAATACCCCAAATGGTATAAAGCTGCTCATCCCTGATTTTCCTCATTTGGTTGTTAAGAGCTGAAATATGAATTTTAAATGGTTAGAATTTTTTTTTTAAAAAGTGATACATTAAACTTACATACAGGATAATTAGCAAAATGTAGAAAGGGAAAACGATGTACAAAAGACAGATTAAAAACCATCACTCCTGACGGACATTCACAATCCAAAAATAGTATAAACCTTAACAAACTATATCTAAACCGGCTCCTACTTACCTCCCCCCAAGTTTTTATCAGTGAAAATAAAATATAGTAAACCAGCAAGCTCAGTCTTTCCGTTCTTTAAAAGAGGCCTGACTTTAGACAACAATTAAGCCTTGGACAGATTTTTTTTTTTCTTTCACATGGGAGGAACAAATAGGAAAACAATTTTACCTGTCCACTTAGTCCTAATTACCAGAACACAGAGTTATAATTAAATAGTACTGGGTGCATGTCAAGCAGTCATTCAGAAGTCTTCTTGTGTTTTTGCTGGTTTCGGGGTGAATTCTTTAACAAGTTTCTTATCCTGAGGTACATTCCAGTAGATTCCGCCATGTTCTCAAATTCAAACGGCGTTATTCCAGTTGCAAACTTGCTCATGTCGGGGATAGCACTGTGGGCCTTCGCGGCTGCTGCAGGACTGCAGTCCTCGTGAAGGAGCTGCTGGCTGCTCCCTCCATTCCTGACCTCACTGTTTGACTCGACCCTGCCGTGGTCAAGAGCACCTTCTGGGTCTACCTGAGTGGACTCTTCCTTTTCCTTCTGGCCAAGCAAAGCAGTCTCAGAATCTGGGCTCGAGGCTTGTTCCTCTTCCGATTTCTGTGCAGCAGTGTCTGGTACCTCAGCCTCCGCTGGCACCTGCTTTTCGGGTGTTTTTTCCTCTGGGACAGGGAGGTCAGGTTCGTTTGGACAAGGTGAAGAGGCCACCGAATTCCCGGTTAAAGGTGTGTCCACAGGAATATCCGAATCACTATTGATGCTCTCGGCCTGCTCCAGGGCTGCCCATATCTGCCTCTGTTGTTCTTCTAGCTCCTCCAGAGTCAGCGAGTCCTCATCCATAGTCACGGATGCCGTTCTCGTCTGGGGTGAGTCACTGGGAGTCAGCGGCGGGGTGCCCTTGGGGAGCGGAGGAGTGAATATGGGTGGAGGGGTGCCCCGGGGGAGTGGGGGAGGCGTGCCAGGGGGCAGCGGGGGCTGAAACTGAAAAGCTTCGCTGCTTGGGGACCCATGCGGGACCTCGGCATCTGAAATGAGGATGTTGAGATACTGAGTTGTCATATAGCACTCGATTTTACTAGCATTTATTATTTGAACTCAGGTGAATCCAGAGGTTTGATGGCAAAATAACAGGCTCAAGAGGGGAAAACTGGATCCTCAGATACCATACGTGTAAGCTGTGCTCAGTGGTGTCTGACTCTTTGCAATCCCATGGACTGTGACCCACCAGGCTCTTCTGTCCATGGAATTCTCCAGGCAAGAATACTGGAGTGGGTTGCCATTTCCTTCTCCAGGGGATCTTCTGGACCCAGGAATCAAACCTGCATCTCCTGCACTGGCAGGTGGAATCTTTACCACTGAGCCCCCTGGTAAGCATATCATCATCATCATTGCTTAATGGCCTCAATCCACCTGAAAAGAACATCTGCAGGGGAAGAGGTGAGGATCTCTGGTGCCAGTAACTCTGAGGGTAACCCTTAACACGGTAGGAAATCTGGCTGGAAATGAGGCTGCCTGGACTCTCGAGTGGGCGGATGTGGAAGAAGCAGCAGAGGAGGCAACTGGGAAACTCCCTGGCTTACTTCTCAGTTCTGTACCCCAGTCTAGATTGCTTGACAGAACTGTGGGTTCATGTGGTCAACTGGTCACTGGTCATCGCTACCTGGGTGTCTCACAGACACAACAGACCTGATCTGTACAAAACAAGGAATCTTTTCCTAAAACTCAGACTCTTCCCCCGTTTGTTAACTCGTTCACTGGCACCACCAGTAGTATCTGGTTTAAGTCTCCAAAACCGAAACCTAGTCACCAGAGTCCTCCTCCTTTCCACCCACACCCGGTCCTTAGCTCTCTGGGGTCCACCCTTTCCCACAGCCTGTCATAGCTGCTACATTATTTTGGGACCATTACTGTTGGTCAGGAGTATCAGAGTCATTCCTGCCTCTCGACTCATCTTCCTTATACTCATCCTCAAACAATTAGTCTTTCTAAAACACAAACCTGGTCCTACTAATCTTTCCATCTCATTAGAAACCCTTTAGTGCCTTGCCATGATTTAGAGGAAGAAGTTCAATCTCCTCTGTACCATATGAGGCTCTCACAACCAAGAACCTACCTATTGTGACTACGTCATTTCTTACAGCCCAGTCTGAACTCCAGCTATCACACTGTTGGTGGACAAACATGTTGTGATGCTTCATGCTTCTGTATTTGCATTTCTCAGTGTCTTGAATGCCCTAACCCTACTCATCTCGCCCTGGTCACATCCCTCAGGACTATCACAATCCTGCTTGACCACAGGTTTCATGGTAAACCCAAAGGATTCAGAGAACAAAAGACTAGGGGAGTACAGAGAGCAAGGCCTTTGTTCCCTTCCCTCGGCTTTCTGAAAGGATGGACTTTCTTCATGGTCTCTCTTTCCTGGGAGGAGACGGGATTTCATGAATTTATACACCTGGGAAGAATAACTGAGAAAGCTTGACTCAGTTCTGCCCTCCCTCCTCTTGGGAATGAGCTCCCAAAGGGGAGTATTTTCCACTGTGTGTCTCAAAGCACTGCCCATCAGAGGGGCCAGTCCAGATCCAGGGCCCCTGGGACTGGGTGGGAAGGTCTGTCTGAGGAACCCAGTTGGCGGGCCCATCCGTCTCTCACGCCAAGCTATAAGCCTTCCAACTCAGCTCTGACTGGCAATAGTGGAGGTGCTCTGATACCCAAGGATAAAAGCAAAGATTTACTCTTGAGTTACTGATCATTAAGAGCTTCCTCTTTCTTAGGGAACTCAGCAGCATACCAACTCGTCCTACTTTCTCAATGAAAGCAAAACCACGGGGTGGAGCCTACCCGAGTCCAGTTCCATGTCGGCGGGTGAGGCTGCTGCACTGTTTTCCTTCTTCTGCTTCTTTGGACTACTGGGGCTGGACTGAGATGAAGACCTTTTGCTGCTAGACTTCATGCTTGGCTAACGGAGAACCAAACCAAACACAAGTGAGTTGGGGGAGACAAAGAATTACACTCCATCCCTCCATTTAAAGATGATACAGAAAACCAATCCAGGTAACTGGTGAATGTAGTTACCTTTTTCCTTTGGATTCATCAGAAAACAAAGAGTGCTTTATATACAAAACAACAGAAGGCAACGAGATGCCTATGAGTTACGAAACCCCATGGATGAAAGCAATACATTTTTCTAAACCACACTCTGAATATCTATTTACCGCTTGGAAGTTAGAAGTTAGGTAATTGGCAAACACATCCTTCTGCTGACAGGCCTGCATTGGTATTGACCCAAATATCCTCCATTCCTAACAATGAAAAGAGAAGGGAAAAAGAAGTGTGTATTTGGAAAATGTCATGCTCTGAAGAGTCTGCTTATGGGAGGCGAAATGGAGATATCAAATTACATTTCTGCTTCATATGTGACTTTTCCTTTTTGCAGGGGGTGGAGGGTAAAGAAACTAACAGTGCACTGAAAGGGAAAAAAAACCCAACTCTGCTTGCACAACAGTCAGGACACAATACTAAAAGACTACTTGACAAAACCACTTGGGCCATAAACGTTCTGCCTACTATTAAGTTACAGGCGGTGACGACAGACTCTCAGCAGCCTGGCTGGTTCCCACTGTCTCCTGACACTAACCAGTACTGCCCATAGACTGCTCCTTGTCCCTTTCTCCTAACTTGCTCACTCAGGCTGTTTTCTACCTTCTGTCTTTTCAAATTGAGTAGTAATCGCTCCTTTCTCTCTCATTGCCAGTAACACATTCAACAGCGGCTCTCAACAGGAATCACTTTGGGCTCCTGTGAAGCCAACAGACTCTAGGGACTAAGTTAAGTCTAAGTGGCGGAGGGGGTGCTTAGGAATGTGCACTTCTAATGCGTACCCCAAGGGGATTCTGATGTAGGCTGGGATTTGGACCCAACTTCCAGAGGCACCGATGGTTTGTATATGCAATTTTGCCAGCCCTTAACTAATTACACACATCTTCAGATCTGTTCACCAGACTCTTAAGTTCAGACCTTTGGCTGCTTCTCTACTGCCCAGTCCCTAAGAATAGCTAGAATGCGTTTTTTTTTTAAGTCATTTATTTGGCTGCATTGGGTCTTAGTTGCAGCATGTGGGATCTAGTTCCCTGAGCAGGGATTGAACCCAGGCCTCCTGCATTGGGAGCTCAGAGTCTTTGCCCCTGGACCATGAGGGAAGTCCCTAGAATGCATTTTTATTAAAATACCACCACCACCATCACCACTACTACAGTTAGTTGTTGAATCCTGAAACATAAGATAAAAGTTGGAAAAGATTAAGTATAGCAAACCTTTCTTGTATTGGAGAAATTTTACTTTGTGGGGGGAAAAGGAGGAAAAGTAGGAAAAAGTTATAGTACACATAGATTGATTAAAGGTAGAAAAATACTTCCCAAGCAATTCTGTAAAATTACAATACTGCTTTAAATCACCCCATGTTGTTAAAAAAATTTTTTTTTTTAAATTTTAGAATAGTTTCAGATTTACATAATCTAATCATTCTATTTTAGTTCCTTAGGGCATAATAGCAGAAAAAACTGGGTTTTCTTTTTGATGAATTCAAGATTTCACTTAACATTCTAGTCAACACAAAGAAAATTAAAAAGTTAAACTCATAAGCAACACATTTTGTTGTTGTTGTTCAGTTGGTAAGTCATGTCCCACTCTTTGTGACCCCATGGACTGTAGCACACCAGGCTCCTTTGTCTCCACTATCTCCCAGAGTTTGCTCAAATTCGTGTCACATTTACTATTTTTTTTTGGCCACACTGCATGGCTTATGGGAGCTTAGTTTCCCAACCCCGGATTGAGCTCCCACCCTCAGCACTCTAAGTGTAGAGTCCTAACCACTGGACAGCGAGGGAATTCTCAACCTTTACTTCTTTATGAAACACTAACTGCTACATAAGCTAACATTGTGAACAATCTACACAAATAATTTTATATCCCAGAAGAATATAAAGCCAATATACTTACATCTGGAATTCCTCTGGGAGTAGATATATTAAAACCTGGATAGTTTACCAGTTTCGAGAGGTCGTAAGTGACACTTTTACTTGGCTGTACTTCTCCAGCTTCTGTCTCTCCATCAGCACCATCTATTATGGATCATCAAAAAGGTTAACATTGCTAAGTGCCCATATAAATCCCTCTCTGGACCAAAAGCAGACCTGGAAAGTGCTTATATTTATGACCACAAAATTATTCTGAGAATGGCTTTCATTATAATTTGTCTGAACCATTAGAATTTTTAAACAACATGGACATACCATTTTGATAAAAATATAAATACTGAAAAACCTGGAAAGTTTAGTTCTTCCATGAGTTGCTTAAAGGTCTATTTTGCACTGATTTTATGATTTTCCTAATGCTCTATTCTAGTTCTTTTATTTAAGAGACATTTATATAATGGTTACTATATAAGAAAAATGTTTTCTTCTCAGATAGTGCTTTAAACAGTTTATAAGTATTCACTCACTTAATCTTCCTAACAACCCTAAGAGGTACTTACTACTCATACCACTTTACAGATGACAGCAATCCTTGAAGGACAGTTGAGAACTACTTCATTCTTTTTGAAAAGTACATTAAGTAAAGCGAACATTTATGTTATTAGTCCCATGTCTATATACCTAAGGTAACTAAATGGTTGATGAGAAGTTTCTCTTTATAGAAGTTTTCAGGATAATAAGCCAAGAAGTAATGAAAGAATGAGAATACAACCACTGTGCCATCCCCAATAACTAGATATTGGCAATGTTCACTGATGACTGATTTTACCACCAATTCACAGGAAACAGAGGGACAGAGAAATATACTAAAAGAAAACCATCGGGATGATCAGGAAAATCTCAAAAAACCCCAAAGGACAAAATTCAGAGCTTTGTTAAAAACAAGAAAGAGAACTTATAGATTAAAAGAGATTTAAAAGACCCTCAATTATCTACAACCATGTGTCCAAAGAACCCCTATGTGAACAAAGAAATTTAAGAAGAAATCGGTGGTCCAGTGGCTAAGACACTGCATTTTCAATGCAGGGGGCCCAGGTTTCATTCTTGGTCAGGGAACTAGATGCCACATGCCACAACTAAAACAACCCACATGCCACAATGGAGATCAAAGATCCTGTGTGCTGCAACTAAGACTAGATACAGCCAGATAAATTTTCTTTTTTAAAGAGAGAACAACAGACCTGCAAGCACCTACAGAAAGTATCATGAGTAATGATAATTTGAATGTCAGCATGACCTGGGGATATAAAATATTAAAAGGACTGTGCTAAATATACTCTTCTTGGTACTACGTGAGAAAGGGGGCTTGGTAAATGTTTTGTTTTTATTTTAATGACCTAAGTAATATCTAGAAACACTTTCTTTTCTTTTTTAATTTAGAGCATTAGAGATAATACTAAAATCTTAAGAGCAATCCTGTTTTCCTTCTCAGGGATAACCACTGTTGAGTTTGCTGTATATTGGTTAAGACTTTTAAAAACTTATTTACTATCTACCAGATGTCAGGCACTGTGCTACATGATAATAAACATATATGAACTGTGACAGGGCATGAAGAATACAAACAGGGTGCAGTGATAAAGTCTGGCAGGACACACAGATGAACGTAGGAGAGAGATGTTTAAATAAGGTGGTCAGGGAAGGCCTCTATGAGTCTAAACCCTAAAATCTAGATGGTTCCTTTCAAAAGTATCTTTTACAAACATAACCCCTTACAGAAAATATACAGCATGGTTTCATCCATGTGGGATTTTTTTTTTTTTAAGATCAACGGTAGTAGTAGTAGTGGTGGTGGTGGTGTTAGCGCTCAGTCGTATCTGACTTTTCTCGACCCCACAGACTGTAGCCCATCAGGCTGCTCTGTTCATGGGATTCTCCAGGCAAGAATACTAGAGTGGGTTGCCATTCCTTTCTCCAGGGGATCTTTCCAAGACAGGGACCAAAGTCGGGTCTCTCTCACTGAAGGCAGATTTTTTACCATCTGAGCCACCAGGAAGATCAACAGTATCATAATATATAAGCTATCCAAAAATTTATCTTTTAAACTCAGTATTTCGTAAGAATCTTGCCATGGGAGCTCCATGGATTTACTCCATTAAATTCTACAAGGATTCTACCCCCTAGATCTACCATGGTTTACTTAGCCGTTCTCCCTTACGGCCTTAATGTTGTTTTAAAATATATATATATATTTTTTAAATTAATTTATTTTGGCTGCGCCGGGTCTTAGTTGTGGCATGTGGGATCTAGCTCCTCAACCAGGGATTGAACCCGGGTTCCCTGCATTAGGAGCACAGAGTCTTAGCCACTGGACCACCAGGGAAGATCTCTTAATGTTGTTTTTAATTTTTCACTATCATATTCAATGCTAAAATGTATCTTCACATACATACATTTCCTTGGGCACATGTGTGAATATTTTTCTAGATACCTAAGAGAAGTTTTAGATTATATTAATGAGAAGGTTTATTTATTCGAACTTTTATAGATTTCCTGGCAGAGATGGGTCATATTTCTCTTACTATTACTGAGAAAGGCAAGAGTTTATGAGGTCTAGCTGGAGAGCTAATACCTTGCTCGGTAGTCACTGAGCAAGTCCAGATAATTATTTGATAACTCTCAATGAAGTTTTAGTTCCTTCCTTGTAAAACAAAGGAAAATCATGGTATTTTTTAGTTAACTCAGTACACATTAAACAAGACAGCCATTCCCATTCTATTTTATTGTGACTCTTTAATTTAAAAAGAGAGAGAGAGATAGAACCCTTAAGTTGACTTATCTAACTGAACATACTATACCTTTCCCATCATAGAGCGCAAGCCCTGAGTTCTCCAGTTCGGCCTCTTTGAGCCACCCTGGTGGGTAGCCTAGCTGGCGCATTCGATATATAAAAGGTGGAAGACTCTTGTCCGTCACACCCAGTGCGTCCTGGAGTTCCTCACTGAGTAAAAATAAAAGAGGAGGGAAAAAAATACTGTATTCTTGCTTGGATGAAAACACATACTGTTCTAGTATTTTAAAACACTTCCATGTCCTTAGAGAACAGACTTGTGGACACGGCCGCGGTGGGGAAGAGGATGGGACAAATGGAAAGAGTAGCATGAAAACATATATACATCATCATATGTAAAATAGACAAACAATGGGAATTTGCTGCATGACTCAGGGAACACAAACCCGGGCTCTGTAACAACCTAGAGGGGTGGGATGGGGTGGGAGGTGGGAGGGAGGCTCAAGAGAGAGGGGACATACATATACCTAGGGCTGGTTCATGTTGATGTATAGCAGAAAACAATATTGTAAAGCAATTATCCTTCAATTAAAAATAAATTAAAAAAACCCAAATCACTTCCATGTCTTATATTACACAGCATGTGGCACAACAGTGCCTATCAATCACAATACAGTTAAGTCCCCTACATAAGAACCTTCAAGTTGCGAACTTTCAAAGATGTGACTGTGCCTCTGTATGCTAGCTATTGTAGTGTTAACTACTGTCCTTTTCAAGGAACTGTACTATAAGATTAAAATTGTTTCCTTTATCTTTTGTTAGTTTTTTTATGTATTATTTGTGTGAAAAGTATTAGAAACTTATGATGCTATATACACCCAATTGTGTTAGTTGGATACCTAGGCTAACTTTGTTGGACTAACGAACAAATTGGACTTATGAACATGCTTCTGAAAAAGAACTCCTTTATATGTAGGGGACTTACTGTAGATATTTTTTGGATTAATCGATGTATCTTTTATATAGAGACTTGTGGGAGAACACTTATATCCTGATTATTACCCTGAAGATACACAGAACTTGTTCCAAATAGTGGGGAGAGAGAAATGACATTCTAATGTAAAATGACACAGGTACCTAATAACTCCTGGCTTAAATCTTCCAAATCTCTCTTCTACTTCTTCTGCATGATATCGCTGCTGAAAATTCTGATTGTTTGTCTCACCACAGGCATCCATATACTCTTTTCTCTTTTCGCTTATTCGAGCAGCATTTCGAGGCTAAATCGTAATGTGTTTGGAAAGAATGGTATCAAGCAGTGTAGAAATATTTCAGAAATTAAATAAACATAAGCACTTTTCCTAGGTAAAGCACACAGATTATTTCAGTTTTAATGCATAAGGAGCAAGTATAAGAGAGACCAGATAGTTTAGAAAAATAAGCAAGGAAGAGAGGCAGTCCTTCAATTTCTTATTACCTTGGCACTATCACAAAGTTTTTAAAATAAATTGTCTAAACATGAATTCTCATCATGTTTTATTCATCTTAAATAGAGAGCACTGTAATAAATTATTTTTTTAAATAATGTCTTAAAACTTATGGACAAATTTGGAAAGATTTAAAAATTAAGGACTACAGGAAAGTAAGACAGGAAGTTTCTTCATATCACACAATGCTATAGATGCATTGAAAATATTAGAAAGCTCTGGTTCAAAGATTTTTTTTTTTATATGAGAAAAATTTACCATTGGGCAATCTTTCATTTGATGCTCTTCAGAACCACAATTGAAACAGTGAGGCTTTGGCCTATTTGGTCAAAAAACAAAGATTTTCACAATGTAAATAGAAATATCAAAGCAAATCAATAAAATTCTGTGTGACAGCAACGTGTATCAGAGACAAGAAAGCACGAGGATCACCAATTACTAATATCTGCAGAAATGACCTCACTTTCACCTCCTGTCCTAATGAGTTACACAAATATTACTTTTGATCAAGACTTTTAACCAAGAGCCCTTATGTTCTCGACTGATCTGTTACCTCTGAATTTTGTCAGTGGCTGATAACAGAAGGATTTGAGGCAAACAGATTATTGTATTTTCCATTAGGAAACTTGGAAAGGGGTAGATGGTTATAAGACAGCAATTAAAGACAGCAGTGATTAATCCTTTCCACCCACCCAGGCACATCAGGCCTGAACCAATGAGTTGCAATATGATTGACTTAGAGATTTACTCTATGTCTATGTACTGAAATTCTGGTTTAATCTGTTTATTCATAGTAAGCCAGTAATATTAACTTTTCAAGCTATAAGAGTTTATGATTTTGGTTAATAAAGAAGAAAAAGAAAACAAAAGCAACTCCCCACACAAACCTTTTTGCCTTTACTTGTATTTCTTGCCCTTCTAGAGAAACAATGTGGCTGAAGACTTGCTGGTACCTTTAGTGAGTTTTATTAAGGAATAGTTATCATAGTCTGCACAATTTGGTTTTTTTTTTAAAGGTGAACTTAATGGCAAGATGCATAAAGATCTTCATTCACTATGTAGGATACTTGGGTATTTCCCATCCTTCCGTAAGCTGAGGGTTTTCATTTAGTAGCGGTTGCCCCAATTTATCAAGGCAAAAATTAGTAAAATACAGGACACTTCCTACAACCTGCAGAAAACAAGTCAAAAAATATTGCTATTTAAGCGGAAAAAAAAAAAAGATGACATTAGATACTGTAAGACTATGATTAACTGTTTTACCAACTTATTTCTGGATGATAAAATTACTAGAAATAATAATCAACTCCCGAGTGAAGGAGTCATATCCTGATGCGTCAGTAAAATCTCCATCACTGAATTCCCTGACATTGCCTAGATCATGGAGCTTTTCCTATTGGATCACTACTGCCAGGGGCACTCCCTCCAGACTTAAAAAGCAAAAACTTGTCAACAATTCTTCTATTTCCCATTTCTTTGCTTCCTTTTGTAGCAAGATCCTCAGAAAGCTGTCTTTATTTCTATATTCATTGTTTCCATTTCCTTGTCTCCCAATAGGAGAAAAATTCCATACAAATTTGGAAAAATTTCATACAGAAAAAGTTGGAACACCCATGAGCCCCCATCTAGGTTCAACAATGGTTAACTGACATTTCTGTGTGCACATCGCTCTCTCCACACAAAAACATACTTTTTACTGAGCCATTTTTAAAAAGTAAGCTGCCACCACTCTCACCTTAGTCTAAGCTATTATTTGCTCCTGCTGGGGACTAACAACTTCCTACCCGAGATCCAGCTTCCACATATAACCAGCTACAACACTGCACCATTCACAACAGGGCACCCTAAATACTTCAGTATGAGCCTCCTAAGAATAAGAACATTCTCCTACAAATCATGATACCACCGTCATACTTGAGAAAACTAATAACACTTTATATCATCTATATCCTGTCTGTGCTGGGAGGATGAAGAGCCCACAGATCTTACTGAGAAGATTTACAAGACATGGACACAACTCTGCATATGTGATAAAGGCTAATATCTGCAAAGGTATCATGTGAGATCACCCTATAGAGTGCCAAGAGGCAAGACTAGGACCAGTGAGTACAAGCAGCACATTTCAGCTCAACTTTTAGAGAGTACAAATTTCTATCAGAGATGTGACAAATGGAGAAGTATGCCTCATTTATTTTTTTTAAAGTGAATTCCATGTTACTGAGAAGAGTCAAAAAAAAAAAAAAAGACCAGGATGCTAGCTATCAGGGCGCTTTAAAGAAAGATCCTGATCTTGAACTAGATAACTTCATCTCCCTTCTAAACAATAAGGTTCTGGGATTTAAGGTGGCACCTGACTAGGATGTTGCACACTTATCAGTCTAAACTGTGGTATGTCAATGGCACACTCCATGAACATGAAAACTGGTCTTCCTTTAATGGAATCCAGGATGATATCATCTTCTTTAAAAACTTTTAAGTTGCAAAATCATACATGACATTGCACTGACACCTCTGAATTTTGCATAGGTATCAAAAGGCCTACATATGGGCTCATCTCTGTTAAAAATCTTCTGTTTTTCACTCACTATATGAGTCTTTCAAATATTTAACATTTCCAAGTTGCTACTTGTTATACGAGTTATTTATCCCTCTCAGATTCACCCATCTATAAGTTCCACAAGCATGCTTTCTATATTTTCATCCAAGTTCTTAAAGATGATGAGTGGGGAGAGGATAATGAATAGGTGGAGTAAAGAGAATTTTTAGGGCAGTGAAACTACTCTATATGAAGGTCTAATGGTAGATGCGTATTACTGTACAAATCCATAGACCATACAGCACCAAAAGTGAACCTTAATGTAAACCATGGACTCTGGGTGATAATGATGTGTTGCTGCAAATTTATCAATTGTAACAAATGTACCATCTGGTGGGAGATGTTGATAGAGGGGGAGGTTATAAATGTGTGGGGGCAGGGGAGGCGTGGCAAATATCTGTATGTTTCACTCAATTTCTCTGTGAACTTGAAAAAATATAAAATCTATTAAAATTATAAAATCTACTAAAAACTGCTCTAAAAAATATAAAATCTATTTTAAAAAAAAGAAAGAATGAACAGAGAGGATACTCAGGAGAAAAATAAAGTCCTCTGAGGTGTATCTATTGTACTCCTAGGTCACAATGAAATAGTTATTAAAAAGCAAACTATAATATTTAGAAGGCTGAAGCCTACACTGTTGTTTACAACAGATTTAATGAAAGAATGTGTGATCATTAGATGACAAGCGACTACATCAGTTTACCATTTAAATGCTACCCAATGGACAGAGGATAGGAAATATATCTGCAGAATTCAAAACTAAAGTGTCCAAACTTACACTAAAAGCTTCCTTATTATTAACGGAACTGGATTCTTCTACTTTATGGTCCTCTTCTAGCATAACACTGGATGGCTAACACAAAGAAAAACACAAGTTACAAAAGCTAAACAATTTTTAACAACTTTAAATTTCATAATTGAATCTGAACACATTCACTTTATTTTCTAATACATACCATTAAGGTATATAAAAGTTTGAATTCATTGCTGTGATAATTAGGGGGAGTGAGAAGTTAAGCTAGATAGGAAAGTTTATGAAAGCTATTTCCCAAGTGGGAAAGTTAAAAAAAGATATAAAAGATAGCATCTTCTGAAGCATTAGCTTACACTCTGACTTTTATGTTAATAAATATTAATTATGGAACTTTCAACATTTAAACTGACAAGACAGGCTTTATCTTCAAATCAGATAATAAAAAAATTAAAAATATAAACTTGTCATTGCTGGTCAATGCTGATACTCAAGGCACAAAATTCTGAAGTGTTTCTTGAATCAAAAATTAAATAACATTCAGTATGGTTTTTATTGTTAAATGTATTCTGTTCCTTGAATCTTTAAAAAAATTATATATAATAGATGAAAACTAAAGGTGACAAAAATTTAGTAAACTAGAATATTCCATTCTCCAACCTCTGAGGATAAACAGCTAGAGATCCTTATTTGAGAGCCTCTACTTACCTTAACTTTTAATTAAAAAAAAAAAAAGCCCAGAAATCATAATCTTGATTTTCTTGAGATAAATTTATGCCTTAATATTCACACAGTGTAATCTCTCAGATTTCTTTGGGCATGCTACTGATTTTTAAAACAAGTAGAGGGGAAAAAAGGATGATACATGAACTTGTTCATTTTAGTAAAAAAAAAAAAAAAAGAAAGAAAGAAAGAAAATCCATTTTTTTATAGTCCCCAGAAAAAGAGATGTTTTTCCCTGGCCTAAAATTAATTTTCTGCCCCAAACCATGGGTCCAAGTTAGGAAATGGTGCAGGGGGAAAGGCTTTGAGTGTAGCCAGGTGTGAATATTATTCCCTAAGAAAAGCAATCACAATCCAAAAGAAAGCCCCATGGCTGCATTGGTCAGATTGTGGAGAGGAAGCCAGGTTGCAGGATGGAAGGTGAACAGACAACCTCAACAACCATTCTGGTTTTGATTCAAGAGGATCCCCGGAGCCGCCTAATACTTGGCAGTAAAATGCATAACCTACTAATCTTAAAGTCTCTTAAGTTTGAAATACCTGGGGCAAAAGATTAAAGGAAGTCTTTTCCACATCATTTTTCTGCTGTTCCTCAAATCTTTTTACTAAATTTGATACAAATTCCTCTATTTCTTGATGATATTGCCTGCATAAGAGGACAAAATGGTCAGAACCCAGACAGAGTAAAACACTGACTTGACTGAAGTCATGCATTTTTAGAAGATGGCATGTGTAAATATTGTTATTTTGTTTTTCAGAGTTTATATCAAATCACTGACTGTATGTAACAATCTAATCTATTCTTTAGGGAAAAAAAAGCAAACCATTTTTGCCAAGTTAACAATACAATGATGACAATCTAACATAGCGCCTAGCATGTAACAGCTGGCAGATACACAAAGACTACATGGATTTATAAATTTTACAAATTTAATTTGTAAATATATAACACATGGAAATGGTTCAAAATTCAAAAGAAGTAAAATAGTTACATAACAAAAAGCCCCCTTCCTACCCTGTCTCACAGCCACTTATTTCTGCCACACACACACAATCAATGCATTCAGCTCTTCCACAGCCTCTTCCCACAGACTCTTTCTGCACACACAAGGCAACACCTATGTAAATATGACACTGGAGGTAAAAAAAAAGACCAAAATGCAACGCAAGAAAAATGACCGAGGTCTATGTTCTCCAGCTCTCCAGGTCAAGAACCATGTTCATCAAATACTCTTCAGTGCTCAGTTCAGAAGGGGCCAAGGGGCCAAATTCCTCTTCGTGGACTTGATGATCTGTTAGGTCTCTTTAGCCCTGACATTCTAAGATTTCTGCAGGCACAACCTCAGGTGAGTGGTGCAGACATTAAGACTGTCAGGAGGGAATTTCCTGGTGGTCCAGTGATTGAGACTCAGCACTCCCAACGCAGGGGGTGTATGTTTGATTCCTGTTCAGGGAACTGAGATCCTACATGCCATGCAGTGTGGCCAAAAAAATTTTTTTTTGAATTGAGAAAAAAAAAAAAGGTCTGCCAGGAGCTTGAGTTAGAGGCTGCCTCTGATGGTGACAGTGGCCCTGGAGTCCCACATGCCCAGCACCGTGCCACCGGCTGTACCACCCCACACAGCTTCAGGTTCCACTTCTGTGAAATAAAGTAGCCAATGGATCAGCCACGCAGGTAACACCTAAGTATGCTCCCTTTACCTTGCACAGCGTCTAAGACATGACAACATGTGACGCAGGAGGGGGCAAGCAACCATCTGAAATGTCTATGACCATACTTCAAGCAAGGCATGGGTCAAGGCCTCAAACCAGTTCAGAACATTCTAGCAAGCATCGTAGGAAAGCACTGAGACATCCTAGACCCAAGAATACTGAAGACTAGCAAGGTCTAGTTTTGCTATTAAAAAAAAAAAAAATCACGTGGTAAGTTTTGAACATAGCCAACAGGGAAGACTCAGCTCCCTGATTCTGGTAGCGAAATGGTGGTAGCAGTGACTTTTATTAGCAGCTAGACAGCTATTTGGGCTATTTGGGTTTCCCTGGTGACTCAGTGATAAAGAATCCACCTGCTAATGCAGAGGCTGCAGGAGAGGCAGGTTCAATCCCTGGGTAGGGAAGATCCCCTGGAGAAGGAAATGGCAACCCACTCCAGTATTCTTGCCATTCCCCATGGACTGAGGAATGTAGTGGGCTACAGTCAGTGGGGTTGCAAAGAGTCAGACACCATTTAGAAACTAAACAATAACAACACTGGGCTCTTACAGGTGCTCATTTAGTTACCTAAAAGGTAGTTACTATTAGGGTCCTGTTTTCCAGTAAGGAAACTGATATGCAGAGAGGGTCAGTGACCTCTCCAGGTTCACATATCTACTAGAAAGCAGAGGTAGCCAGATTCAAATTCAGGTTGATATGACTGCAAAGTCCTGGCTCTTATCATGATTCCATAAATTTTTAGTAAAAGAATACAGATGGTATAAATACAGATGAAAACAGCATATTTATACAAACACTGTATCATAAACACATTAGCTCATAATATTTAGGAAAGAAAAAATTACTTACTTTGAAATAACATTGTTCATAAATAGAATCTGTAATAAAGGTCCATCTAACTTAGTATTGTTCACCAATATTCCACTAAAACAGAAGTTAAAACATATTCTTAGAAGACATTAAAATAAAACTTGCATATGTATATATAAACACTGAACCTTTATCATTTCTAAGTACCAAAGATGATATAATATTTTACGAACAAGATCAAGAACCACCAGGAACTCCGGTTTTCACCAATTTTGCATACTTGAATAATTTTATAAAGATTATCTTTTACTTTACATATATATTTTAAATATTTCATAAAAAATTAAAAGCTGCAGTCAATCTTTCAGTTTTCAACCAGAAAGTTTCTTTACCTGATGGCTGTTTGTTTACAAATTGAGGAGAGGGAGGAACTGAGTAAACCAGCAGGTTACAAAGAATAAAATTCTGAAAGAATCATAGTGAATTTGGCTTGGCAATATGTAGGAAATGGAAACACTTTATAAATAAATGGGTAGACTTTTTGGAGGGCAGAGAACACTGCACTAAACATCCCAGATCCAAAATTTTAAAGTAAAGATGTAAAATTACACTATTCCTGGATGTGACTTTCAAATACTGGAAAAAATAGAACTAGACTGTAGCCTTGAAATCTGCTATATATTCCTTTGGTAACCTGGGAGCAGCTGTATCTGATTTCTCCACACGTTCCTCAAATCCTTGTACCTGTACAGCATGCGAAATCAATCAATCTGTACGACTGCTCACATCAAGTAGAGAAATAAAATTAAAATATGAAGACATCCAGAAACTTGTTTCAATTTGCAAAAACTGCAGTTTAAAAAAAAAAATACACTGTGGGCTTCCCTGGTGGTTCAGTGGTAAAGAATCCGCCTGCTAATGCAGGAGGCACGGGTTCGATCCCTGGTCCAGGAAGATCCTACATACCATGGAGCAGCTAATCCCACGCACCACAACTACTGAGCCTGCGCGCTACAGGAACTGCAACTCCTGAGCCCTCGTGCCACAGCTACTGAAGGCCGAGCGTCTGAGAACCCATGCTCCACAAGAGGAGCCACCACGACGAGAAGCCCACACACCACAACTAGAGCAGCCCACACAGCAACGAAGACCCAGCACAGCCAAAAGTAAATAAATAAATACAACTATCCAACAAAACAAAACACCATGCTTTTAAAAACCACATGCAACTGTGTGACTCTTGACTGGCGTTCAGTTTGAGCAATCAGTGATAAAGGCATTCAGCTGGGGAAATCCAAATATGGTTGAGAATGTTATTAAGGAAATCATGCCAGTTATTAGGTGCGATCATGGCATTGTGGTAATACATGAAAGTTTTTAGAAAAAAGAATACATGCTGAAATATTTGGGGTAAAATATGTATATGGAATTAGAAGGAAGGTAATATGTCAAAATATTGTGAAATCTAAGTGATAAAAATGAGTATTAATTATACTATTCTTTCCACTTTCTGTACATTTAAAATTTTTATCATATAAAGAAACAACAACAAAAACCAACTCACAATGTTTACTGGGAGACACTGTGATATGCAAGTTCCAAAAATGAGGGTTAAATCAAGACAAATGGGGTACAAATTTTATCTAAATTTTTTTCTTCCTTGGTTTTCTATAGAAAGTTCTGTCAGTCTCACAATGTGGAGAACTTTAATTCTAAATAAATAAATATATAGTTTATTCCTTTTTCAGGGTACTAATGCTTCCTTATAAATTGGCAAAGCCTATAATGCTATAATCGTTTAAACTCAGGTGATTGTTAACCCACTTATAAATATTTAATGTTCAAATGATTGACTCTATTACAAAGCATGTGCTTGTCTAAATAAAATATCTCTACACATATAAAAATTATGATTTATTTTTTTAGGAATCCTACTCACATTCAATACATTTACTACCTAACCAAAAACAAGTGTAGATCCAGAGTGTGCTCACATAGATAGGGAAGGTAGGGCATAGAGAAATTATTCTTTAGACATATTCTGAAATATGTCTAAATTCTAAAATTTTAGTCACCAATGCAGCAGGTTACTTCAGCTGGTACCAGGGATAAAAAATTCCATGTGAAACTGCATCATGGCACCCCAAAGTCTGAAAGCCTTAGCATACCACTCTGTATAATAAATGTTTTAATAAATATTTTAGATTTAGTGGCTACTAAATAAACACAAACTAAGAAATAATTGGGGCCTTCTTGGTGGCTCAATGGTAAAGAATCCACCTACCAATGCAGGAGACAGGGTTCGCTCCCTCGTTCGGGAAGACCCCACTTGCTGTGGAGCAACTAAGCCTGTGCGATACAACTACTGAGCCTGTACCCTAGAGTCCGGGAACTACAGAGCCCAGCTGCCACAGCTACCGAGGCTGTGCTCTGCAAGAGAAGCCACGAGAAGCCTGCATACTGCAATTAGAGAGTAGTCCCTTCTCCCTGCAACTAGGGAGAAGGCAATGGCAACCCACTCCGGTACTCTTGCCTGGTAAATCCCATGGGCAGACGAGCCTGGTAGGCTGCAGTCCATGGGGTCGCTAAGAGTCGGATACGACTGAGAGACTTCACTTTCACTTTTCACTTTCACGCATTGGAGAAGGCAATGGCAACCCACTCCAGCGTTCTTGCCTGGAGAATCCCAGGGACGGCAGAGCCTGGTGGGCTGCTGTCTATGGGGTCACACAGAGTCGGACACGACTGAAGCAACTTAGCAGCAGCTCCAACTAGAGCCAAAGCTTGTGCAGCAATGAAGATCCAGCTAGCCAACAAATAAAATTACATAAAAAAGGAAATATCAACATGTAATTATCTATTAAAATTAGATGCCTGAAAGCAAATTTACTCACTGTACTTTTTTCAAAAGCAACTCCTTTCTCTTCTTCTAAAATATATCTTGCATTGTTTCTATTTACAGACACCCTTTAATTGTATAAATAAATCTTCAGCTATATCAATACTGTAATTTGAATTCTAACTTCCCAGAAATGTTCACTGAATAGAAACGTGAATAGGTTGATAACTTGCCTGAAGATAACTTATTCTGAAGATTAAGAAAAAATTTCTGGTTTGTGTTTCACACGTATTTTCACCCAGTCAGTTTCAAAGTTCAATGCAGTTATGAGAATTCAAATTTTACCCTCATAAATTAAAAATAAAGGATCATTACTCTGATTTCTTCAGAGTATATGGAACACATACAAGCAAAACAAAAATCCCAAATACTTCCAAAAAAAAAAAACCCAAAACCTGCGATTAAATATTAATATCAGGACAAAATAAAAAGTACATTATAGTGCAAATTCAAGATCTCATACCTTGGTCGAGTCAAAATATTCAATTTTCTTTTAAGTTCTTGATGTTATTACTTGTTAAGGAGTATAGCCCTCATTAAACAGAAATAAGATCATAAAATTCAACCACTAACCTCACTTTTGATGTCAGTGTTATAAACATGTTATAAATATGTTACAAAAGTTAAAAGACAAACATTTTGAGGATGACACACTTACTGACCTTTTCTGTTGCAGGACTAGTACCTGGATCTAAAAAGCTGAAGTACATACCCTTCCAACACGGTATTTCTAAGATAGGGTCATGTAATTCAAAAGAGACTAAGAGACTGAAACCAAAAATGCTATTCGGACAAGAGTGTACAGTCAGAAGTTAAACAGCCACTTAAAACGTTCCAGGTCAAAAGCATCATGATAACTCAGTAAGGTAAATGCAGCATAACAAACCGTTAAGAACTGAAAAATCTAAGACGGAATCTATGAATGTTCACCGCCAAATCCTTTCAACTTTTCTGTCTTTAGAAATCTTCCACAATAAAATGTCCAGGAAAAAGGCATTATGAAAAAAAAGGCTTCGAAAACCTTACACTAGAAAAAAGTTCCTGAACCAAAATTGTAAGCTCAGTAAAAATAAACAAAAATTTTAAAAATAAGTTAACCCCCACCCGCAAACACCCTCTAAGAACATATAAACATATTAACACATTTTGTTAGAAAGGCCGTGGACATGTAACTAAAGTCTAACGGAAACTTATTGGGAGCGTTTTCCCTGGAGCTCTGCAATGCACATTCCACACGGAAGCTGTTTCAAAGTGGAAGAACTTTCAAATGAATCCCCAGTGGTCATCAGGCAATGAACCATTTCTCTGTGCATGCCTCGACTCCGTAGGGACCCCAACTCCACAGAATAGAACCACTAACTGGCCCCGCCTTAAAGACACATCTGCGCCCAGGTCAAAGTAGCCGGTATCGCCTAATACACCACAGAGCGTGACTGCATCAACTTTACACTGGTTCCAAAAAAGGAGACCGGATAATGACTCAAAGGACGGGAAGAGACGTAGTGAACAGTCTACAACTGAACAGTTTAAACAGTCAGTAATACCGCTAAAATCCCGCCTCAGACTCGCGGACGGGAGAAGCGAATCAGGTCTACGAGACGAATCCCACAAGGGGAGAGGTCTGTGCCGAGGCCTCGAGGACAGCTTATGCAACCCGAACCCTAGATTCTAAGGCTGAATTCTGGCCCTTGTGGAATTTCCGCTCGCGCCCTACCGGCACGGGCCCCACCACACGCCCCGGTGACAGGGCCCAGCGAGCGGGAAGGATATTCTCGGCGCGGAGCTGCTCGATGGTTTCCTCGCACTGCCGAAGCCGTTCCCGCAGCTCCGCGTCGCCAATCCCATTCTCGTCCTCCTCGTCGCCGTCGTCGTCCTTGAAGCGGGTGTGAACGGGCTTCGGAGTCGAGTCCTCTGGGTGGTCAAACGCCTCGAACAGCTCTAAATCGCCAAAATCCACCTCCGCCGCCATTTTGGGCTGTGGGAAAGATACGAGAAGAGGCGGAGCTGGCCACCGGGCCTGAGGCGAAGATTTTGTTGGGCGGAACCGCCCTCTAGGGCCCCCACCGCGCTAAGCCACCCAAGTAGGGTTTCCTCCAAACGTAGGCCGCCGAAGTAGCACAAGGGGCGGGCCAGCCCTGAGACTACAACTCCCAGAATGCAGTGGCGTCTCCTCTACCCACTTCCGAGATTGCTCGGGGTCATGGCATTCTGGGATATGTGGTTTCTAAGCGACTGTTAACTCATTGTTTGCATTGCATACTGGGATTGGTTGTTTTTAACGTGAAGAAAGCCGAACCAGATCAGAAAGTGTTACAATGCGAGTTGTCCCCGTTTTGCCTCAAAAGTAGAAAAAAAAAATCAAAGCACGATGCATGGCTTGTCACAGATTCTGGTGTTCATGCCAAACAGCAATAAGGAACTCCAGTTTTGCCACAGACTACCTTTTTTGTTCTTGGAGAAGCTACTTCAGTTGATTGGACTTGTTTAACTTTTTCATAAAAAGCTAGCTTGATTTTAGATTATTTTAGATTTGTCCCTAGAAGCTTCTGGTGGTATCTCTCCTTCAATCAACCCACTCCAGTACTCTTGCCTGGAAAATCCCATGGACGGAGGAGCCCGGTAGGCTGCAGTCCATGGGGTCACCAAGAGTCAGACATGACTGAGCGGCTTCACTTTCCCTTTTCACTTTCATGCATTGGAGAAGGAAATGGCAACCAACTACAGTGTTCTTGCCTGGAGAATCCCAAGGACGGGGGAGCTTGGTGGGCTCCTGTCTATGGGGTCGCACAGAGTCGGACACGACTGAATCGAGGCGGCAGCAGCAGCAGCAGTTCCTTCAATAACTCGTTCATTCAACATTTATTTACCGAGTTCTGTGTGCTAGGCACTGTTCTAGGAGTTGAGGATGCTAGAGTGAGCGAAATAGAGACGGCCTGGTCCTGCTTTCATAGAGGGTGCAGCCTAGCAAAAGAAACAAAAGAAAAGTGAAAGTCGCCAAATAGTGTTCAACTCTGGGACCCTATGGACTGTATAGCCTGCCAGGCTCCTCTGTCGATGGAATTCTCTGGGCCAGAATACTGAAGTGGGTAGCATTCCCTTCTCCAGGGGATCTCCCAACCCAGGGATTGAACCCAGGTCTCTCGCATTTCGAGCCAAGCCTTTACCAACTGAGTCGCAAGGGAAGCCCAAGAATACTGGAGTGGGTGGCCTGTCCTTCCTCCAGGGGAATTCTCTGGACCCAGGAATCGAACTGGGGTCTCCTGCATTGCAGGCGGATTCTTTACCAGCTGAGCTACCATGGAAGCCCAAGTTCAGTTCAGTTTAGTCGCTCAGTCGTTTCTGACTCTTTGCAACCCCATGGACTGCAGCACACCAGGCCTCCCTGTCCATCACCAGCTTCCGGAGTTTACTCAAACTCATGCTGATTGAGTCGGTGATGCCATCCAACCATCTCATCCTCTGTCGTCCCCTTCTCCTCCTGCCTTCAATCTTTCCCAGCATCAGGGTCTTTTCCAATGAGCCAGCTCTTCGCATCAGGTGGCCAAAGTATTGGAGTTTCAGCTTTAACAGCAGTCTTTACAATGAATAGTCAGGACTGATTCCCTTTAGGATGGACTGGTTGGACTTCTTGTTGTCCAGGGGACTCTCAAGAGTCTTCTCCAACACCACAGTTCAAGAGCATTTATTCTTCAGGGCTCAGCTTTCTTTATAGTCCAACTCTCACATCCATACATAACTACTGAAAAAACCATAGCCTTGACTAAACAGAACTTTGTTGACAAAGTAATGTCTCTGGTTTTTAATATGATGTCTAGGTTGGTCATAACTTTTCTTCCAAGGAGCAAGCATCTTTTAATTTCATGGCTGCAGTCACCATCTGCAGTGATTTTGGAGCCCCAAAAATAAAGTCTGTCACTGTTTCCACTGTTTCCCCATCTATTTGGCATGAAGTGATGGGACCAGATGCCATGATCTTCGTTTTCTGAATGTTGAGTTTTAAGCCAACTTTTTCACTCTCCTCTTTCAATCTTATCAAAAGGCTTTTTAGTTCTTCACTTTCTGCCATAAGGGTGGTGTCATCTGCATATCTGAGGTTATTGATATTTCTCCTGGCCAATCTTGATTCCAGCTTGTGCTTCATCCAGCCTAGCATTTTGCATGATGTACTCTGCATATAAGTTAAATAAGTAGGGTGACAATATACAGCCTTGACCTACTCCTTTCCCTGTTTGGAACCAGTCTGTTCCATGTCCAGTTCTAACTGTTGCTTCCTGACCTGCATTCAGATTTCTCAAGAGGCAGGTCAGGTGGTCTGGTATTCCCATCTCTTGAAGAATTTTCCACAGTTTGTGGTGATCCACACTGTCAAAGGCTTTGGCGTAGTCAATAAAACAGAAATAGATGTTTTTCTGGAACTCTCTTGCTTTTTCGATGACACAGTGGTTGTTGGCAATTTGATCTGTTCCTCTGGTTCCTTTTGGGAAGCCCAAAAGAAACAAAAAATAAATGTAAACATTGCTGATCTTGGGTCAAAATGGATATTGATGGGAATTCATCTTATTAAGAGATAAATATGCATAAAAAACACAGGAAATTATTGATATATAACAAATTTGAAATTTCGGTGGGAGTCTGAATTGAGGAATTGAGTTTTGAGCTGAATTATGAAATGTTAAAGAGAGCAAAGTTGGCGGTGAGCGTGGGGGATGGTATTAAGAGTCTTAGGCTGGGACTTCCCTGGTGGTACAGTGGAAAAGCATCTGCCCGCCACTGTAGGGGACACAGGTTTGAGCCCTGGTCTAGAAAGGTTTCATATGCCTCAGAGCAACTGAGTCCGTGTGCCCCAACTACTGAGTTGGCTCTGGAATCCTTAAGCCACAACTACTGAAGCCTGCTCACCCTAGAGCTCGTCTCCGCAATGAGAAGCCACCACGAGAAACCCGTGCACCGCAACTGAGAGTAGCCCCCACTCTGCAACTAGAGAAGCTTGCACAGCAATGAAGGTACAGTGCAACCAAAAATAAATAGATAAATGAAGAAGTGGAGTCTTAGGCAGAGTGGAACAAAATGTGGCTGGAACATTAGGCAAGTGCTCACAGATCACACTAGGGATATTCTTTCCAGTCCTAGAATTGGGAAGTCATTTCAACATTTTAAACAAGTGGTGTGTCCATGACCCACCAATTTTCACTGTGATAAGATGATCCTGATCCCATGTTTGGAAAAGGATAGGCATGGAGCTGAGTAACATTCTGATTGTAGCAGACAGATCACTATTTTGTAATGACAACAAATGTTCACTTGGATTAGGGTAGTGTCAACAGTAACGTAGAGTTGATATTCAAATAGAGGATATTTAAGCGGCTTCCCTGGTGGCTCAGTGGTAAAGAATCTGCCTGCAATGCCAGGAGACCGGGTTCGATCCCTGGGTCAGGAAGATCCCCTGGAAGAGGGCATGGCAACCCATTCTGATACTCTTGCCTAGAGAATCCCATGGCCAGAGAAGACTGGCAGGCTGCAGTCCTTAGGGTCACAGAGGCTGAAATGACTAAGCAGCAGCAGCAGAGGATATTTATAAGATAAAGTAACAGAGATAATTGAAGGGTTGTAAATGGGGAATGAGAGAAGAATGAATTATTTGCCCAGATTCTGACTTAACTGGCTGAACGATTGCTTGAGAAAAACTGATGTTGACTACGTTTGGGAGTAAAGAGCAAGTTCCATTTTCACTGCGTGGTAACTTGAGGCAATTTTATCCTTAGAGATAAGTATGAGTGGAAGAAATTCTTGAAGCACTGGTGTATTAGTATATTGAAGGTGGAAATTTAGGCCCCAGGGGAGAGGTATGTATTAGTCAGGTATTTGGGACTAAACTCCAGAAAGAGGTCTGAACTAAAGATTAGCATTTGACTGGATCAAATTTTTTTTTTTTTTTAATTTAATTTATTTATTTATTTATTTTTTTATCACAACCATAGTGTATCTTTTTTTTTTTTTTTTACATGTATTCCCCATCCCGGTCCCCCCTCCCACCTCCCTCTCCACCCAATCCCTCTGGGTCTTCCCAGTGCACCAGGCCCGAGCACTTGTCTCATGCACCCAACCTGGGCTGGTGAACTGTTTCACCCTAGATAATATATGTGTTTCAATGCTGTGCTCTTGAAACATCCCACCCTCGCCTTCTCCCAGAGTCCACAAGTCTGTTCTATACATAGGAGTCTCTTTTTCTGTTTTGCACATAGGGTTATCGTTACCATCTTTCTAAATTCCATATATATGTTAGTATACTGTAATGGTCTTTATCTTTCAGGCTTACTTCGCTCTGTATAATGGGTTCCAGTTTCATCCATCTCATTAGAACTGATTCAAATGAATTCTTTTTAATGGCTGAGTAATATTCCATGGTGTATATGTACCACAGCTTCCTCATCCATTCATCTGCTGATGGGCATCTAGGTTGCTTCCATGTCCTGGCTATTATAAACAGTGCTGCGATGAACATTGGGGTGCACGTGTCTCTTTCAGATCTGGTTTCCTCAGTGTGTATGCCCAGAAGTGGGATTGCTGGGTCATATGGCAGTTCTATTTCCAGCTTTTTAAGAAATCTTGACTGGATCAAATTTTTATGCAAAGTCAATAGAAGGATAGAATGAGACTGCATAATGTAGAATGGGAAGTCTGGGACTGAGTCCTAGAGGGCTGAGATTGAGAAGGATGCGACAACTGCAGAAATTGATGAATGGCCAATGGGAGAACTTGGAGAGGGCTCCAGATTAAGTGCTTACTCTTAAAACCATCTTTTGAAAAAAAAAAAAAAATCATCTTTTGGCCTATGAAACGTAACTTGAAATGATAAATCACACAATTTGTTTCTACCTCTACCAACCTACTACTTAAAATGGAATTTACATTAAAAAGAAAAACCTGGGAGTATTTACATTATTTCTAATTTAAATCACAATAATCACCCAAATTGGAACCCTCATCTTTAAATTTGCTTACTTTCCAAGTCAACTGCTTTTACATAGTTTATCAGACCTTGCCTCAAATAGTGTGGTCTTATCTTCCTGCCTGCCTAGCTACCATGTCTTTACAGAACCTATTGGACAACTTACGTTCTTGTTGCATACAAAAGTAAAGCCAACATCCATCAGAAAATACCAGGCTTTGAAAAAGAAGGCACAGTAGTAGCCAGGAAAAGGGGGAAACAGTTTAAGCACATAAAAACTATGGAGTTTATCTTCCTATGAAGTCATTTCCAACCAAGCCAAGCAGTTAACTGTCCCTTGCCTCCAGGACTCCAGTAATTGTTTCCTGAAGTTTAATTATGCTAATTATAATAACCTATATGCCTCCGTCTAAATTTATTGTCCAGGACTGTTGCCCCTGGCTGTATGTGGCTATTATAGTCCAAGTCACTCAGTCGTGTCCTACTCTTTGTGACCCTGTGGACTGTAGCCCACCAGGCTCCTCTGTCGATGGGATTTTCTGGGCAAGAATACTGGAGTGGGTTGCCATTTCCTCCTCCAGAGGATCTTCCCAATCTAAGGATCAAACCCAGGTCTCCTGCATTGCAGGCAGGCTCTTTACCATTTAGGCTACAAGGGAAGCCCAAAGATGGGTTCTTCACCACTAGACCACCAGGGAAGCCCCTCTTCTTTAAATGTGGCTAGGCCCAACTGGGTTAAAATACAAAATATCCACTGGATTTCAAAAATAAACATGAAAATAACAAATTGAAACCTCAATTAAAAGTACATGTTACCTATTCAATTATTTAGACATTAAATGAATCAAAATCAGTTCCCTGTTTAAAACTGGCTACAAAAATTCTTAAAGAGTGGACTGTTATTCATAGTTTATGTCTAGCACCTAAAATACCACAGAAAAATACAGGAAGTTTAATGTGCGTTCTCCATAACCACATTGCATTACAAGCCCTCAGACATTAACAAAACTGATTTCAGAAGGTACAGCTCAACAGCAAAATGTGAATTTGGGATTACTTCCAAAATGAAAATCCATGGTGCTACTTTTCCCAGAAACTTAACTTTGTCACTGAGGCATGAAGAGGCATCTCTCCCTAAAATTACTGTGCTCTGGGGAAACTAAACATTTATCAGAACACATTAAGTAGTCTTCCCTCGTTCTACTGTGCTGCTACATTGTGGAGAGGTTTTTCAAAGGACTTTTCCAGGGAAAGCTAAAAATTATGAATTTGTTTTAATAGAAGTAAATGAAGTACAAGTTCTGTAGTCCCCTCCTTCCACAAATCTATGCCCTAAATTTATTCAATTTAGTGACAAAGTGGGTTTCTCTTTTAGCACTTTAGTCTATGCTAGAGAAGAATTCTAAATGGATAATGAGGAAAGGGCATACAAAGAACTTGTTATAAGGCACTTTATTAAAATAAAAGTGCTTACATCCCTTTAATGTATTAATCTATTTCCTGAATAACATATGGAATATTTAACAAATACTGTACACCAATTCTGTCCCTTTTAATAGTAGGAAAACAGTATTTTCGTAAGTTTTTTCACTGCTCCCAACTTCCTTTTACATTTTTGCTCACCATGGTATTGCCTATAGCATAGTTGTTCTCAAAAAAAAAAAAAAAAAGAAAGAAAGAAAAAAAGAAAGGAATTTCCAGCCAGTGTCTTCTAACAGAAATTGCAAAATGCCATAGAAACCATAAAACAAATTCAAATAAGAATTCCAGGTAACTTAAATTAACACCAGTCTTGAGAAAACCAATTTTATTATCATTACCACCCAGCTTATTTGTGCTGGATTATGTACCAAATGGCCAGATCTTCTAAAGAACATCTACATAACATTTCTTTCATGTTTCAAGAGATGAAAATAACTGTACAAGGTTAAGTACAAAAAGTACACAAGACAGCGGACACCAAAAATTCATGTATGAGATATTTATCCCACCTGCAGCTTTTATATATTTGAAAAGTAGAATTCATGAACTAAAAAATATTGTCCTTCTATAGTCCTGTCAAGTTTAATGGAAGTGGGTTTAACCTGATTACAACACTAACACCAGTATCACTGATCTGATATTTACAAAAAAATCATATTTTTCAATAAATTAAAGTCAACGCAACACCCATGCAAGCTAGAATGCTAGCTGTTCGGTGAACAAGGACCTGACATCAGAACCAGAAGTCTATAAAAGTCCCAAATATAAAGTGTGATCTTCTTCAAACTGCATCCATTCCTCGCATTGATGATGTGAAACCCAAACCCATTCCTCTCTGTGTGTGGGTTTGTGATCTTGCCATTTCATACTGAGCATCTAGATTTCTAAACACTTCTTCCTGCTGTTTCAGTGTCTTGTAACTTTCTTCATCAACAGAGCTACATCCAGCTTCATCTTCACTCTAAACAACAGATTCAAAAATATACTATTAAGATGAATCACCTAGACTAGAAAGTACTTCTCTCACTTAAAAGTCCTGGTAGATCATATTTTTGCAGTATATATTTGACTTCACTTAGCTTCAATTCGTCATTCAAGGCAATGTTCATTCTTGGTACTGGGATAGAAGATGTTAACAAATATCAACTTCATTCAGTGGGAATGAGAAAGAACATGCAGACATGCCAAACTATGTGAATAAATGTCTAGAAGGGAAGTTAAGTAGAAAATGGGGATCAAGTTTAATTCAAATATTTTTTCAATGAAAAACCAACTCCCTTAGTAATGACCAATATTTGAACATTTGTGGACATTATCAGGTTACTGTACAAAACCTAATACTGTATTTGTCTATCTATACATTATTCAACAAAAAAACACAACCTTCTACATCTCCTTCAAAGGAGATGGTCCACTGGTTGGGAAGCTGCCTTCCAACAGTGGACGCAGGCTCCATTACTTGTCAGGAAACTAAGATCCCACATGCCATGGGGCAATTAAGTCCATAAAAAAGACCCTGCATGTCACAACTAAGACATGATGCAGCCAAAAATAATATTAAAAAAAAAAAATCTTTCTTGAAAAAAATAAAGGTCTGATGACAGTTAAACCTTAACACACACTCTATCAACAAATATTTAATCAAATTTAACAATCTCTATTGTCAGTTAGTGATAATGTATTGGTCTAGTGCATTTTAATTTATGTTCTCTCTATTCTCAAAATTAACCTAGAAAACATAACTGAGAACACACTAGATGTAGAGCAAAGGGAACTACGCTTAATGCTATGCGGCAGCCTAGTGGGAAGGGAAGAATGAACACATGTGCATGTATGGCTGAGTTCCTTTGCTGCTCATCTGAAACTATCACAACATTCAACCATACTACAATATAAAATAAAGTTAAAAAAAAAAAAAAGCACTAGGAAGTATCCAGAGATGGCATATCACTAAAATAACATTTGAGAACCAATGTTACCCTAAAGATGTAAATTAACATGAGTTTTAATACAAAGTGTGTAACTCACCTTAATACCCATTAATTTCCTAAATTTGACGTTTTGGTCCTTGTTTCCAAAATTCAATTTCTCCCATATTTCAGCAGACTGGGATTTGTCCTGTTAAGAAACAATGAACTTTTAGGGTATGTAAAATTTAAATATCTTTTATTAGGGTACTAATAATTTTCCATAATACTGCCTAAGTAAAAAAAACCATTTATGACATTCTATCAGTGGAGTTGGTAATTGTCTTAATATGAAAACATATAAACTAAGGAACTCTTCCCCTTTAATAAATGTATGGGCACACTGGTTTTCTCTGAAAGTCTGACTTAGATCATGCATTTTTTCCCAGCATTAATAACTGTAGCAAGAAAGAGAAACCCAAACTAAATTATTCCAATCCAAATGAATTTTTCTAACTTAGAAATCAACAACAAAAGAGTGGAATAAGAAAACTTACTCCTTCTTTCTTGCCTTGCCATAGCATTTTCCTTTTTTTCTCTTGTTCAGCAAATTTCATTGGATTCACAGCTGCTGGGTTGTAATAGCTAGGTACAGCTATTCCGGTCTCTGCCAAAGCTTTTGCCTGCAAGGCTGCCATCTGAGCTGCCATAGCTATCTGAGGAGTTACTTGTGTTCCTGACGCCAAGAGGGCAGCAACATTTAGAACAGAACCTCCAGTAGCGGCAGCTGCTGATGAGGAAGTAAGTATGGATTTTAATGAAAATAAGCATCTTAATTTACAGTAACATATTATTTATAAGCAAGAGCTACTAAGCTGCAAAAAGGCAGAATATTTTCACCAAATAAATAACATGGTCAGGACCTCCTGGTATTACAGAGAATAGAAACCTGCCTGCTAATGCAGGGGAAATGGGTTCAATTTCTGGTCTAAGGAGATTCCACACGCCATGGAGCAACTAACTAAAGCTCATGTACCACAACTAGTGAGCCTGTGTGCTGCAACTAATAAAGACTGTGCACCTAGAGCATGAACTCTGTAACCAGAGAAGCCACCACAATAGGAAGCCTGAGCACCGCAACTAGAGAAAGCCTGTGTGCAGCAATGAAGACCCAGAGCAAACAAAAATGATTTAAAAAAAAAACACACACACACACAATAAAAATAACATGTTCACACATCAGTAATGATTTTTAAAATGCCATACATCCATAATAAAGAAAAGTTACCTGCAGCTATTTCCTGTTGTTTTTGTTTTTCAACCATTTCCTTTTCTCTCTGTTCTTGTAATTTCTTTGCCCTTTCCAACCTGTCAAAGACAATTTAATAAAAAATAACAACAGAAAGCCAACATTTATCTCTATATGTATACATGTGTAGGCACAAAACACTACACAGAATTTTAAATAAATTTAGTATTTTCCCCAAACTGACATCTGCATGCGAGAAAAAAAAGCAATCATTCTTAAGATGGTATCAGTCACAATCCAATGGTATTTCATACTGGTTTTAAACATTTTTAAATTCACTGAATAGCCAACAACTCTAATTACTTTTATATGCAGTTCCCGGAGAATGGTTAAAATGGTTAAGAGATAAAAATCATTCAGTCTTCATCAGTGCTGGTTACAGGAGAAGGATAAAATTAAACCTTGCAAATGTGAGACACTGAAAAAATATACCTGAGTAAATTTTAGGGTATGTTCAATAATTTATAGAATTACCTAAAAGCTTCTTAAGTGAGGCTGATTGGGAGTAAGGCCAATCAAAACATGCAGATGATATTTATATTTAAACAGACTTTACTGGTCTCTAAATTACTGGAAATTAAAAAGCCAAAAATTTCTAAAAGGGCAAGCAAACCCTACCTATAATCTAATAAAACAGGGGAAAAACTATTAGAAAATTATTTTTAGGAGATGAAGAAATCAGTAAAGGAATTGGAAACATGAAACACAAACTCATCCCCAAACAAAATAAAAACAAATTCTGGTTCACACTAAATTTACTAATGAATACACATACTAAACAAAATGTGCTGTCAAGTCAGTGCCTGCTATATCACAAATCTTAAGTAATGTTATCTTCATAATGAGTTCCTGAAAGAGAAATCCCTTTTCTTCTCTGAAGACTCCTTGATTTACCAATCGTAAGTTAAACACTGCCCCCTCCCTCCTTTTAACATGGTACAAAGAGGCAAGGATTGGGGAAAAGTTTTTTGAGGGGGGGAGCAGCGGGCACTATGGGTAAAATACAGTGGTAGAAAACTGGCATTCCCTTTAACAATTGCTGAAATTTACATAAAAGGAATATAGTAATCTTGCACACATAAAAGAAAGGCATGTAGTAAAGCCTTGAACTTGTCCTTGGAAACAAAAGTTTCTGATTAGAATTAATGTTAAAATGTCGATTTATAAATACTTAAAAATATTTCAAACGTAGTTTTAAAATTCTGTTATTTAAAAACAAAAAAGGAACAAAAAAAGGTCTACATACTGTAGTTTAACAACAAACGACCATCCTTCAGATTTCAAGGTAGCCAAAGAATAATTTGGTATTCTGAAATTTGTATTGTCATCTGAAAATCACTCAGGAGACTAAGTCAGTTTTAGAGGCTATTCACAGACTCAACTTTAATAAAATAAAAAAATAAAACACAAAAAAATTCATGATCAAAGTTACTGGACTATTCTTCATAAATTAGTTCAGATATTGTGGAAAATTATTTCCTAACTCCGTTGATTTTAGTTTCAGGAAGAAAGTGATTGACAACTTTTTGTTTGCATATTTTAAACGGCCATTGCAGGTTTGGAATCAACACCATTCACGAAGGTGAATGGAATGAGGAAGGGGTGAGCTCACACCTTTGCTGCTGCTGTTCAGCTGGAGTTTCTGCCAGGCTGGGTTCGCAGGGCAGCAGCCCATCAGGTTACATTGAGATAACTGTATTTTTGTAATGGAAAAAAAAAATACAAACTCAATTTCATAGAGAAAAAAAAATCAAAATCAAAAGATTTTAGTTTTCAGAATATGGGAAAACCTGCAAACAAGGGCTTGTATTTTACTTCTTGCCTCTATTAGGTAGTTCAGTCAATGGTTTTGCAGATTTAGTTAGATAGCCCTGTTGTTGTGTGGTCCCACAGTAACCCATCTTTGAAACATCAGAAAATTTAAGAATACAATGATCTTTCTATGATATCAGCAGTAAAAATTTTAAGATCAAATAAACTGGTTTATTAGTTGCCACTTTCAAAATAAGAAAATTATTGACAGAATTCTACTTATTGTTTCAGAGACTGTTTTCTTAGAGATGTTTTCTTAGGAACAAAGAAAGTAATGACAAAGCAGTTTTAGAGACAAAATGAAGAGAGTTCTTAGATCAGATTTAGGATTTTTAAAAACGTTTCCAATTGCAAACTGAAAATATTTATAAGTCTAGATTGGAGAAAAATGAATTAATCATGTTAGAGAAAAAGAGGAACTGCTGCAGAAGTACCCTTTCCAGAATTAACAAACCACTTATAGAGCTCTTGTATCACAAAGGTGCCACAAGTAGTCATGGCTACATTTAGATGTTTGAATTCTTCTCTGACTGAAAGCATTCATTTGCCCTACACAATTGAGTATCCATTTCAAGATGAAAAGGAGGGAAAAAAAAGGCATCAAACAAAAATATACACACCTCCGAGCTAAAGCTTCTTGTGCATCCATTGCTGTGTTTCTGCCTCTAAAGGGAGGTGGACTAGGAGTTCGGCTTAAACTTCTGCTAAATCTTCTTGGTTTTTCAATTCTCTTCTTCCTATCTCTTTAACAAGTCATATTTTACATGTCAGTATGGCCAAGTAATACTTCACTGAGTCAAAATCATGGTTACATAGTTCAAACTGAGTAAGACTAGTTTTCCATAATTTCACGTAAGCACTCCTTTTTCAGATGACGTTTAGGTTGTTTCCAATTTCTTGCTATTACGCCCAATGTTGCAAAAGTTAAAAGACATGTAGGTTAGTAATTTTACGCTTGTGTAGGTCAACATGTGTGCTTCCCTGGCGGCACTGCAGTCAAGAATTGGCCTGCCAATGTCTGAGACACAGGTTTGAGCCCCGCGTCAGGAAGATCCCCTGGAGAAGGAAACGGCAACCCACTCCAGTACTCTTGCCTGCCAAAATCCCATGGACAGAAGATCTTGGCAGGCTATAGTCCATGGGGTAGCAAAACAGTGGGACACAACTTAGCCACTAAACAAGGTCAGTATGTAGAATAAATTTCTAGTAGTGGCTTCAAGAGGTTAAGTGATCATAAAAATGACAAACCCAAGTTCTTATAATAAGTTTAAGTGCACTTATACCCATATTTCAGCCTTTTATAGGCTGTTTGACTTAAGGAGCAATAAATTAGTAAAGAAGCTTTCCCACTAATTTTATACCAGCGCCTGTGAATATAGATATAATACACTATTAGTTCATGGGATCGAAAAGAGTCAAATACAACTGAGTGGCTGAATTGAACACTATTAATAATTGCTTTGTAGAGAATAAACCTATTGTTTGAATACTTATAATGAAATGATCTTTATTGAACGTCCAGTTTCAACAAATTAAAGCCTCCTTCCAATCAAGACAAGTTTGAACTAATAAGCTCATCTTCTGAATATCTGAGAAAATAAAACAGTATGGTGGATTGAGCCCATGTACTGACTTTGCTTTCAGATACATCTGGGACCAGTCCTAGCTTTACCATTTAAGAACAGTATGATACTGAACTTCTTGGGCAAACTACTTAACCTCTCTAAGCCTGACCTATCAGACCCTGTTCGGATCTGAGTTATTCAAGATCATGAGCACCTACCGACTTCTACTCCGTGTCCTACTCCTGCTTCTGCTCCTATGCCTGTGTCTTGATCTTGAGCGGGAACGAGACCGGATCCGACGCTTTCTTTCCCTGCTTCTGGACCGTGATTTCTTCCTCTCCCTGCTTCTGGATCTCGACTTCTTCCTGTCCCTACTCCTGGACCTTGACTTCTTCCGCTCTCTGCTTCTACTACGATGACGCCTGAAGTTAAAGCACACAAAATTTCAGTTATTTAAGAGTTCTGTGTTCAATTATAGACATTATGAATTATCTGCAGCATATGCAGCCAATACTCTTGTGTTGTATAACTGAAGGTTATTAATGAAAGGAATTACACAAAAAACAGACCTTTGTTTTTATTTGATGATGCTTCCTAGAGAATATCGTGATAATGTAAAAAATGGAATGTTTCCTACCCCAATTTAAGATTTAGTTTAGTAGTTAGCAGCAAACAAATCCTACACCAGCAATGTAAGAGGACTGTTATATGGGCAAACTATATATAGTTTTCAGCAATATTTTTTTTTTTTTCACTGTAAAAGACAGACAAATCAAAAAGTTAAAAATTCCAAATTTTCTAACCAATTTTTTGTTGTGTTGCTCTGTTAATGCAGACTTTTTCTGTAATTCAGAAGTTTTGTAGAAAGCATTAACTTAGGAAAAACTACTTACCTTTCACGAGACCTAGACCTTGAGTGACTTCTGCCTCTTGATGATTTTCTTTCTTTGCGTTTGTGTCTGTCCTCACCATTTTCAGATGAATTTAGCCGCTCTCTTCCTTTATCAGAAGAATGGTCTTTGTCATTATGTTCCTCAGACTTGTGTTTCTTAGACGACTTATCTTTGGACTCATGTCTTCTTGCCTGTTTTAAGAAGAAGTTGGTTCTTTCAGGAAAATAGTGCAACAAAGAGAGTTAGTATGGGTATCAGAAGCAAAAATGTTGTGATGCAACATTAGTAACCTTAGGAGTGTGTGGCAAATTTTAAAAAAAGATCTAGTTTCACATCACCCAAATGTTGCAAATATATACTACTAATTTTACCTTTTCCTTACACACCCCCCAAATGCAGTTTCTACCCCAAAATATTTTCAGTATCACAATTAAAACAATGACTTTCAATGTTAAAATAATATAAACCATTATTTCAGAAAAACAGAAATCCCTGTTGTTTCTTTTATCTAAAAGGGAAGTACACATGTATCAAAATTTTTTCAAATTTCCAACAAACCTTTTAGAGAAACAGACCATATATATATATACACACAACACAACTTCTAAATCCAGAGTACATAAGTTAACAATAATGAAGATAAGGACACAGAAATGCAGCAGAAAATGCATTTCCAATTAGGTAATTAAGTTAAATTAATCTAAGTATTAATATTTTCTGCAATTTCAAATTACTTTACGCAGAGTTAAGTGTCCTTTTTATATAGCTATACTGTCACATCCTTTCTTAAAGACGGCTCTTGATTTTTCTCCCAATGTCTACACTGTGAAGCAATCACTTTTCATCTTGCAATATCCCAACAGGCTTGGAGTTCTATTACATTTCATGTACCTAGGGTAGAAAATGGCAACCATATCTTTTAATTTTTATGAAATCAAACTAGGTATAACACAATCAATCCCTATACCATTATATAATACAGACTTCCCCCATATTCTGAAGAATTGTAAAAACTGAGGCTTTTGCTTTCACAACATATGCATTCAGAGACTGAGCTAACTCAATTGTATGATCAAGTCTCCATCCTACACTCACTGAATTACAAAGTGTTACATGTTAGATTTCCCCACATTAGGATTTGTCAGATCCATCCTATAGCTAAACCTTACAATCCTGGACATTCAGAATCACAATTTTAAAGCTAGAAGGAAACTCAGATTCTCTAATTCCCATTACATACGACTAAGACCTGAAGTCACAAAGCTACGTATTAGGAGAGTTGAAACCAGACCCCATATTTGATGCCCAGACTACAAGAGGACAGTTAGCTCATAGTTTCCAAACTAGACCTTAGCATAGTTCCTCCAAGATTAACTTTTCTTAAAAACAAAAAACTTGGTCAAACATTTTGGAACATGCATGATGATACATCTGAAAAGGGTGATAGCATAAAATTCATTATTTTGCAGAAAAATAAAGAGACCTGGAGACACAGCTAAAGTTTAGTTTCAATGCCAGTTCTCTGTATGAGCTTATAAAACACTATTTTCTTGATTTTGCCATATGGCAGCAAAGTGGAAAAGCTTTAAGTGGCTAAGCTTGCAAAAGTTTTAGAGTTTATTTTAAACCAGTTTTCCAAACATAACATTACTATTATTTTTAAAAAGAAAAAAACCATTTAAAACCCTTAACTGATTTAAGATATACTTAAGGGAAATAGGAGTTTGAATGACTAATAGTTACCTTATCATGAAGTAGGCTTATTATTTTGCTATCTGAGTCTGCAGCGTCTTCAGTTCAGTCTCTTCGCGCATTAGCACGCTGAGTATGATTTATTATAGAAATGTTATCATGTGAGCTAAACAAAATAGTCATTTTCACAAAAACTCTCCTAAATTAAAAATTTAACAGAGCTTCCATTAGGGGAAGAGGTGAAGTCCCTGCCCACGTTTGTTTAAGGAGTCCCTTGCCCAGCCCCCATGAGACTCTCCTCCCTTTTGGCTTCTACTTCCGCTCTTCCTTTGTTGGCTCATTCCTTGTCTTCTCAGGTGGGCAAGTTAACTCTTCTGCAATACAGCTGCTGTCTTAATCCTCAAGTTTTGCTGTCACTGCCACCTTTCCAGCTGTCCCTCACTGACGCTTTTATTTCAAAATTCAGTATTATTAGGGAACTAGTTTACTAATGAAAAGGACTCTTGTTACCTTCCACAAAGAAAAAGTAGCCCATAGATATTTAGAGCACTGCTACTTAAGAATGATTGCTATTTTAAAATCCTGATCAGTCATAAGGCATAAGGAGACTCGGGACCTCAGATTAATGGAAGCTCTGTGCAACAGGCCTAAAAAACCAATTATATTCTTCATATGAAATTTTTATGGTGAATATTTTCACAACATAACATATTAATAGTTTCTGAATGAACTTTTCATATAAACAACTATCTTCTTGAAAAAATGATGAATCCAAATCATGCTTATTTTATAACTCAATTAAACCTTTTAAATTTCAAGTTTTGGTACTTACCTTGACAATATCATATATTCACACAAACATTTCTACCAAATACTTTACAAGTATTTTAAAGTGCCTATTCACTACAAAGTATTAATTACCTCTTTGCTTCTGCTCCGGCTCCTGTGTTTTCTTCCTTCATTATCTGTGAACACACAAAAAGTCACTATAAATAAACATATAAAGACACCTCAAACATAAATTCCAAAACTCACACAAAGAGCATTTCTGTCCACTTGTCTAACTCAAGAATTTATTAAATATTTACTAGTCAAGTAAAGCCTCTGAAGTCTATTTTTTATGACAGGGGTGGGATTATCCTACATCATATATTTGAAACAAATCAAGCAATCTGAGTAAACCAGAATATAATCAAGTAAGTAAGCAAAATAAGTTCCACAAAAAGTCCATGTTCTATGACACATGACCAAACAAACTTTTGGTGGCCACAGATTCTTAGTATTTTACAAAACATTCTGTCCAGTCCATCTTGTTTCCTATTACGCAGCAAACTTATAAAGAAGTCAAAAGGATGCTACAGTTCAGAAAAATTCCTTTAAAAAGTAGTGATGATACTGCAGTTTCTAATATATAGATAAAAATCACACTTAAACCATTTTGTAGATGATTATCTGTGTGTACAAAAGATAAATAACTAGACCTTGGGTATTAAAACTTTCATTAAACTCACTTCTACTCTACTTCTCATTTAAGTACCTCATTAAGTATTCACTCATTAGCAATACAGGATGCTTTCTATGCCACATCACTCTCGTTTTTTTTTTTTAAAGTTAACAAAGAGCATTTCAAAACACAACTCTTGCTTTCAGAAATATTCTAACATTAAGTTAAAAAGAAAATCAAGGTTAAAAGTGTTCTTGTAACTTGTGTCAAAGATGCTAAATAAATTCAGAATACACAACTGCCCAGACTACATCTTTCAAAATATTGTTTTGCCTGTGTTAAAAGGACAAAACTTAAACCTCTAGGGCTAATATTTCTGTGACACAAGTTTAAGCATACAGTTTGACAAATTATGAAACTTCTGTATGCATTAGGACATTTGTAGTTCTCATAACTGAAAAATTCTCCACCAAGTTACCAATGCACTTTTCACTATTCATTTCTCAATTCGAAGAACACATATTAACAGTACCAGTAAACTAAAATCTTTTACATTTTCACATGGATTATACAAGTGCTGGTAGTGGTATCGTTTCTAGCAATTCTTACCTGACTTTCGTTTTCTTTCTCTTGACCTTGACCGTGATCTTGAATAATGATGTTTTGAGGCTCTAGGAGAAACAGATACATCAGACTGCTCTTTTTTCTTATCTGTATCTGGGGATGTTTTTTCTGGGGCTAGTCCATCTCGTTCTGCGTCACTAGCCTACAAGTTCAAAGAAAAATCTTCGTAAATTCTTAATTGCTTTTAAATGTTTTCAATTTCTTAAAAGAGAGGGGGAGGAAAGACACTTATCCTTGGGTTTTACACAACTGAAAAGAGAAAATCAAGTAACAGAACAGCTGATTCCAAGTGGCTAAATATGTTTTGTACTTGGTAAGTCTGAGTAAACTGAAATGACTAACCCAATACCAAACAGACGTATGTAACTTGGTGAATTTTTTTAATCATTGTTTTTACATCTTTCAAAACAACGAGGAAGGGGAAAAGAAGGGTCCAACTATTTCCAATAAATATTTAAGCAGAGAAAAGAGTCCATTTTAGATCTCTGAGTTCATTTAGTTGCCTTTACTACATGGGCATACCTTAAAAAGTCATTTTAAATGAGCTGTGAAAGGTTAGAAAGACTGAGGACTGTGAAATCTCAAAAAGCAGAATGCTTCTAGAATATTATACAAGGAAAAAAAAAAAAAACAACAACAGAAAATTAACTTACCTATCTGAGAACCCAATCTTAATTTCATTAACCCTCTTTAATGAAAGCACCTTGGCACAGCGCTTCTCCAAGTCTGCCTCTCCTCACATACGCTCTGGGCTATGGAAACATTGTTTCTGCTTTAAAGCATTTTATAAGTTACACAATATAAACTTTAAAAATTGAAAGGAACAGTCAAGTGTACACTGTCTCTGAAAGGCCTGATTTACCTGAGAGAGTAGGGTCCTTCATTTAACTATCAGCTCTGTTTTCCCATTTACAAAAGGTAACTTTTGTTACCTTTCCGTTTAAAAAAAGGAAACTTCCTGTGCCTAGATCATGACATAGTCCTCAGCACAGAAATCAACCAATAAATGAAGAAACGAATTCCAGTTACTAGTTTTCCATTAAAAAAATGTATTTCTGTAAGAAATTAAGTAAGTCACAGGAGAAACTAGAACCTTAATGTTCTCAAGTCAGATACTGATAAAAGGCAGGGAAAACAGTTTCAGTATATGTGGAAGGTGGTGACCCATCTGCCCAGAGAAGGAATAGGAAAGAGTCAATACGCTAATATGCCTGCGAAGCTAATTATTTAGGGCATGAACTGGCAAAGTATGGCCCCTAAGAATGACTTTTACATTTTTAAAAGGGCTGTTAAAACAAGCAAGCAAGAAATGTGACAAGAGACTGTATGTTGTATCTGATCCACAATGCCTAAAACATTTATCAACTTGCTCTTTACAGAAACAAATTTGGATTGGATAAATGGTGAATTACTATACATTTTTAGCAGAAGGAATAATCACATGATAATGAACTACTTCTCTTAGGAAAATTAGTCCAGAAAACAAACAGCAAGTAAACTAAATGGACAGTAATTTAACAAGTGAAGTTTGAGAGGCTGCATTATTTCACCAACTATTTTCTGAGGGTCAAAAATGCACCCAACTCACTCGATGCCGGACACTTCGGGAATAAACTAATAAATTTAAAGGGAGGGATTTACAGACTGGGTTAGGATGAAAGACATATTATGTGTTAAGCGTCTAACAATATTATCAAAAAACAAGAAACAAGTGGAAGCATATAACTACTGGGGAGGCTCATTCGAGCATACTTGTTTCTTTATGTATGGGTCGTATCTGGAGTCAGAAAACTTTTGTGCAGAAAGGCTCTCATCCCTTAGAATCAGACTCAACTTTCAATCCACAGATGGGATTCAGCAATATTAGCTGACTCACCAAAGAAGGTACTCTATCTCCTGTCTACTACTAATATATGATACTCTTATCAAACAAAAGAGGATTCTAATAGTCACACTAACACTGGTTATTTTCTTTTCTTCTTGTCCTCATCACTATTCTTAAGGATTGTTTCTAACAGGTTTATGATGTGCGATGTGCTGGTCAAGTTACACTGAATATAAAATAAAGCAACAGAAAAACTTAAGGCACTGCTATCTCTTCTCTCAGTGCACACCACTTTTCTGTCCAACTGAGACAGCATACCTGAAACCACTGGCACATCTCACTCACTTCTACAGATATCATGACTAGTTAAAAATCTTTCCATGGAAATGCCAGCATCTAGCCCAGGTCCTAAGTTTTCAGTCAATGGTTTATTTAACTACATGCTTAATATTAAGGAAGTCCAGCAATAGGGAAGCCAAATGTCCTTGACTTAAAGGAAGGCACTCTGTAACATGGAGTAATAACATATCAAACAGCCATTTTCATCTGTAAAATATATACAAGATGCCAACAAAAACCATCCCATCACTAAACAGATGAATAATAAGTGGCCACTTAGACCACCCTAAGCTTTTATGTCCTTTAGGATATTTTACAGTAGTTAAGATTTCAATTTAGTAAGTACCTGTATGTAAATCTCCATATGCTAACTGCAAAAATGCCCTTCACTCTAGCATTTGCTCTTTTAGAAAAACATCATGGTTTTTAAAAATTTACATCTTCTTTAAAACCTCAATGACACTCAAGACACAATATAGGACTCTTTTCCCAGTGCCAAGAGAAGCACACTGGACTTAATACTAGGCTACATCTCCAGGGGATCGTGTCTTTCTATGGAACAAGGCACTGAAGAAACAAATGTTTTTTAAATATGTGAGCTCAGGTAAAACAATATTCTTCCAAGTCACTATTTCAACAAAAGAAAACACTAAATCGATTCTTTGCACAAATACCAAATAGCCTGCCGACTGTTTGAAAGTGGTTCTAAACCAGTTACCAAAAAATCCAGTTCTAAATCAAATCGACTAGGAAAGGGGCAACAGGGAGGGGCAGATTAACGATTTCTAATGCCAGATACTTCAAAGATTGGGCTGAGTAAACTACCAGTTTTTCAATATGTTTAATAATCCTATTTATTTTCGAAAGCGAGAAAACTTTTTAATCAGTGGAAAAGGATACAAAATGTTTGCATTTTTCTTTTAACCGGGTAAAGCAAAACGAAATATTCTCACAATAATGCGATCCATCTGGATTGGGTATCTTATATCCAAAGTAGGCTTATTTTACATTAGAGGTTAATTGAAAAACTGCATTTTCATTTAAAATTAAACGGGCCAATGAAGGACTCAAATTTAAAATAACGCCAATGATAGTGCTTGATTATGTTTCTCAAAGACTTCAAAACGGAGCATCATCAGTCCGAATTCGCAGTTTCAAAGTCTTCTCCTAATTAAAACGAATTTCTACTCCCTTCCAGAAACTCGTTCCCTAGCTGCTTACTAAGGAATAAACTAAGGTTTGCGCAGACGCAACACTAATTGAAAATTTGCGATTAGAATTGTCTCATTGAGCGCAGGCAAAATGATCGCTCCTAGACTGCTCTCTTTTCGAGTTCGATCCCTTACAGGCACCGCCTTTCTGACCCAATACTTTTTCAGAGACGACCCCTGATCCCTTTTCTCTTTTCCCCAGCCCTCTCCACTGCGAACATAAATGCCCAAGCCTCAACGAAATTCAATATAACCCACTAACTAGTGAGTAAGCTAAACTGCAGTCAGTCCTGTGGGCCAAAAGGAACAAAAAACTGGGAAAAAGACAGGAAAGTTCTGGAAAAAAAAAAAGACACTCCCTGCTGCTCCCCACCCCCACAACAGCGCCTTATTTCCCCCTCCCTACAGCAGCCAGCCATGATGGCGGGCGCAGAAGAAGGCCAAGGCGCCATTTTGTCCACACACAAGCGCGGATAACAGCCCTGGAAGCCGCTCATCCCTTCTTTGGAGAGTAACAGAAAAATATCCATGATTTTAAACTCAAATTTGGCACCCACCGCCATAGTCCAGAGTCTTGGCCGCAACGGCGGCGCCTCCACTTGCCGCTTTCCACAGTACTGGCCGCTTCGACGCTTCGCCACAGACTGAATAGCTCGCGCCAGAGACCCGGATGGCACAAAGGGGAAAAGGCCCGGCGCACAGCACAGCTTGCTGGGAGGAAAGGGGGTGGGGATAAGAGTTTCTATAGCAACGCGGTTAGATGGTGATTGGTTGTTCTTTTGAAGGAGCGCGTAAGGCTGGGAGAGGGCGGGGCCAAGGACGTACCACAGAATGCTCAGCACTGATATCAGAACTGGTGGAATTTAGGGTGGGGCGACTTCCTATTTCGCTTCTAGAGCAGTCTTGGCCTCCCCTAGTCGCCGTAGAAGGGGTTGGGCTTGGTGTTCTCCCGCCAATTTAAACCTGTGGCAAAGACCCTAAAGACCTTAGGAGCGGTTGTGGGAGCCCAGATGCGGGGGAGGTAAATTTGAGTGTTCTTTAATTTCTTCAGTTGCAGGTGAGGAGGGGGAGCCACGCTACTGTAGGAGCTGGGGGGGCGGGGAGGGTGGCTTTAGGTCGAAACAGGAGAAACCTTAGCTCAGTTTGGGGTGTTTTCCCCTTGAGACGTCAGTGGGAGAGTGGTTGGAGTTGTTTCTTTCTGGTCCGTGTCTAGCTGAGAGCACTTAAGCAAGGAGGCCTATTTGAAACTTTCGTTTAATTCGTTTATGTGTTCACTTAGCACCCAGAGTAATCTCAAACTTAATCACATCACGTCATTGGCCTACTTAGTATTTTTTCCACCCTAGCACTGAGGATGAAAGCCAGTCTTGTAATCAAGGATTCATTGGTTCCACCGGTTGGTTTAGCCCCCGCAGTTTCCCATTTTTCATATGGCCCCACAGCAGCCCCAAACTCATTCCACCCTCTGCATCTTTGATATTCGGCCTGCATCTTTGTCCCCCTTGAGCCTTGCATAGTTGCCTTGTCTTGTTATTTGGATCTCAGTTCAGTTGTCATCTCTTTCCCCTCCCAGATTTTTCTTATGCGCCACCCCCAACCCCCCCCCCCATTCACTTGAGCATTATTTGTAGTTGTGCATTTACTTATTTTTTCGTAGGGAAGCAGTATAACAGTTAATAACTGGCATGAATTTGAATCTTGTCTAGCGACATCGTTAACTCATTTTAGGTGACCGTGGCCATTTACTTAGTCCCTGACTCATGCTTCTCAGCTGTAAAATAGGCTGTTGTGCATATTAAATGAGTAATACATTCAAAGTATCTTGCCTAGTCAATACCGCATTTATTTTTGTCTGTCTTTCCTATGGGATATGAATTTCATAATGACAAAGACCTTTTCTGTCCTCTTCACAGATGTATTCCCAGCTCCTAGAACAGTGCCTGACACATAGTAGGCATTCAGTAAACGTTTGTCAAATGAATGTGCCATACCTGGGAGGCTGATAATATTTCTCTGTTCTTACAGATGTGGGACTCTGAAACTCAATAGAAGTATTTACTTCAGCCTGTCTTAATCTCCTCCCAATTCTTGCCCAAACACAGCCACTAGAATTATTGTCTATTCTAACATGCCTTGTTTTCGGGCCCTTGCTTACACTCCTAGTAAGAGCTCTTCCAATATTTAAAAAGCACCTGTAACCTTAAATACTAGCTCAAATGTTACCTTCTTCCACCAATACAGTAGTGGATTAGCTGCACTTAAAAGGGAGCGCTTGCCATGAAACCAAGCATTGATTCATGAACCTTTGAAACTGGTAGTGACGTTTCTGGCTATGTACAACTGTATTCCTATTTTATAGAAGAGAATTGAGGAACAGAAGGGTTAAATTACTTGCTTGACCACAACAGGTTAATTTAAAATAGCCCTAAGTCAAAAATCATTTCTTTCCTGTACTATTACCGTCAAAGATTTAAAAAAATATCTCTGAGCAGTTAGCAAAAGAACTGAAACTATTTGGTTATTTTCCCCTCCAGTATTGATTCAAGCATTGCTTTTCATTTTAGTATTCTATGCCCAGGAGACCCAGTGAAATGAGTTATTTAAGTCCTTGCTGATGAAATAGTTAAGTGACTCCTAAGGTTACAAACACATTCTTTGGTCCAGTCAGAAGCCTAATCGTTTTTTTCCCACCTCTCCTTAACATTTTCATTTATGGTGTAACAGTCCTGGAAACATGAATGGACATGGTTTTTTAAGTTCGTCCGGAACCTTAACCAACCTGAGGTATCCCAGACGATATGCATTCAGAAACTTCACTGTTTTTTTGCTATTCTGGTTAAAGTGTTTTTTTTTTTCCAAATGAAAGCTTGTTATAATTTCACCTAGGTATACAAAATACTAGAAACTCTAGGACATGTTGGTAAGATTGAAATTGTTTGCCTGTGACCCTAAACCAGTATGTTCTTCTCTAGTGATGGTCATAGTTCTAGTTCCATTTATCTTATTGATCCAAAGTGTCTAGTGACTGCAGAAATAACACAGAGAAGTCTCTGTTTATTGATGTGTATGTGTGTGTGTATATATATATACATACATATATATGTATTTAATAAAGCCTTTTTATTTCCCAAGGAGCTGGAGTCTATGCAACAATGTAATTTGGTCTGATTTTACAGTTGTCATAGGGAAGGCAGTGATTCCTGAACAGGAAAACAATCTCAGAAACATGTGGAATGATATTGAACTGCTAACAAATGATGATACAGGCAGTGGATACCTAAGTGTTGGTTCAAGAAAAGAACACGGAACCGCTTTATATCAAGTAGATTTACTAGCAAAGATCTCCTCTGAAAAGGTAATGGTTATGTCGCTGTTTTCATTCACAAAATTTTTACTGTGTTTAGTAAGACTAGTAGCCATGTGGTGGTTGTTTTATAAATGAGTATAGTCCTTTCTCAGGGATTCCAAGTTTAGTGTCAAATTACTGGAAATTTCCATCTGAATTCCCCATACGTCATTTTAAGGTCAATATTCCAAACCTAAACTTTTCATAGCTCCTCTTGGCATTTTAGAAATACAGATGTATGCAGAAATGATACAAAGAATATCTACCACCAGCTTAGGAAGTAAAACATTACCTAGAATTGAAGCAAGTCCCTGGCGTCCCTCCCTCATCCCAAGCTCTTCTCATACTCCTACCACTGAGGTTGAGATTGTCCAATCCTTTCCATGAATTTCTCTCTATATTTTAACTTTCTTCTTTTAATGACTACTCCACCATTCTCACACCAGGCTTGAAACCTTATTCTCTGCCTTCTATGGAAAGTATTGCTGTTCGTTTTTTATCTTTGATTTTCTTTCTCAGTAATTTGCTCTTGATAAAATTTTGGTGATCGTGGTAAACAAAGGTTTCTTTTAGAGAAAGTACAAATGATCTTCTGTCCCAGTATTATAGCCCAGGATTCCTCTGCTTCTCATAATAAGTTAATGTAATGTTTTAATTAGCTGATTAAGGAAAAAAGTTTTAAAAGGAGGAAAGACCAGACAAGATTTGTAGATTTTAGAGCTAGAAAGGGAGGGCCTGAGTCTCTGGCAACATTGTTCATCAAAGGTTTCAAAATGTAGGCTTTTGACTTTTTCTTCAAAGGAGCATTAAAGACATTAGCTGATAGAGGTTTTCAAAAAATCATTCTTTATGCAACTTGTGTCCTCTTGTCAGCCTGTCCTGCTTTATGGCATTTGTAAATCACAAATTTATATGGAATTTATAAATATTATGAATAATACAAATAAATTTTAGTCCTTGGTATTTATTTCTAAAAGGCAAGAGTGTAAAAAATACTGTAGGTTCTATAATGAGAAAATGGTATTTCTTTATTTTTTATTATTACCAGCAGCCTTAAAAGATGGAAGTGGCCCAGGCCCCTCTTGATCTTTGAGGGCTACTGTTGAAGAAGGATAGTATGTATTGAGCTTTGAGTTCAGTTAAGAACTAAAATTTCATCAGTTGTTAGCTTGGGGCATTACTTGTAGCAAATGCTGTGTTCGCAACCCATGCTTGCATTTGGCAACTCTTTTTAGGATTTTTCCTTAAAGTTAGACAGATAGGACACAGAAATAAAAGATACCTAGCTGTGCAAGTCAGTGTGTGCCAAATACCAGATGAATGGTACAGACAGGACATGTAGTAGGAGTTCAGAGAATGGAGAGCTCACTGTGGGTTGAGACAATCTAAGGAGCATTTCATAAACTAGCATCTGATTTGGGCCTTCAGAAAAAGAAGGGGAAATGAAAGCACAACTTAACCAAAATATGTGGAATGCAGCCAAATCAGTTCTTAGAGGGAAACTGCATGCATATATTAGAAAAGAAGAAAAATCTAAAGTCAATAATCTTAAGTTTTCAGTTAGGAAACTACAAAAAGAAAATGGACTTTCCTTGTGGTCCAGTGGTTAAGACTTTACACTCCCAATGCAGCAGGCACAGGTTCGATCCCTGGTGAGGAATTAAAATCCTGTTGCATGGTGTGGCAAAAAAAAAAAAAAAAAAAACATGTCTCAAGGTTCGCAATCCAGACAGAGAAAACAGCCTGGGTTAGAACCCTGGGAGGTATAGCACAGTTTCTTCTTTGGTATAACTTTTCAGTTTGAAGAGGTTAAGAGTATAAGAGGAATCAGAATGTAGTTTTCAAGAATTACACCTGCAGGAGGTGGCCACTGAAACAGATATAATATGAACCGATTTAACGAGCATATGCTACAGGCTAGGTTCCCTTCCAAGCCCTGTGCTGTTGTGCAGCGGCTCACTCGTCTCCGACACTTTGCAGCCCCATGGACTGCAGCATGCCAGGCTTCCCTGTCCTTCACTGTCTCCCCAAGTTTGCTCAAACTCGTGTCCATTGAGTCAGTGATGCCATCCAACCATTTCATCCTCTGTCACCCACTTCTCTCCTTGATCTTTTCCAGCATCAGGATCTAAGCCCTTTATATAAATTAATTCATGATTCTCCAAACCAGCCAGTGTTGTAGGCATTATTATTATTGTTTCTGGTTTACTAGAGAGT